CGTACCACAGAAGCTGGAGGCCTGTCTGGAGGAGTTGCTATTGGGGTTTCAGCTTGTATCGGGATGGGGAATCCACCAGGGCGGCCTCAACCTCTTCCCTTTCCTCGTCGGGCCTTGGTCAAATGGATAAATGCTGTTATACCTGGAGGCTTCCAGGCAGCATCAGTTTATATGCCTACCACGGACCCCTTTGGGGCAGAGGGCACCCTTCTGTTGAGTCGGTTGGGGGAGTTCCTGCATGCGGCGTCGCTTCCTTGTCTGATTGGAGGGGGCGGGGATGCACCTCCTACGCTTTTGGGACGTCTTGGATGGGCGAGTAAACTTCGAGGCCGCATCATTGCTCCAGCTTCTCCTACTTGCACGGCAGGTAAGAAGGAATGGCGCACGCTAGAATATTTTGTAGTATCTGATGTTATGGCTCCTTCTGTGGTCTCGTGCACGGTGGCGCTGAATGCAGCTATCAAGCCCCGCCGTCCAGTGCTTCTGCGGCTGCGAGGTAAGTTGGCCCCACAGTGCACCACGGTTCTGCAGGCGCCTCGGAATTTCCGACGAGAGCGCCCACAAGGCCCCCTTCCTGCACCACCAGCTGAATGGGAAGGAGTTATTCAATGGTTGGAGGAAGGGGGAGATCAGCAGCAGATGAACACAGTATTCAAACGGTGTATGGCATTGTTAGAAAAAAAGGGAACTTCTAGCAGCACATGGCATTCCCGAGTCTGATTGGAAGAGATATACTGGACGAGGGCTGGGTTGGAAATTAAAAACCATCCCTGCCCTTCCCCCCTCCTCTGGACCCTACCCTGTGGCGTGCCCCGTCAGCAGGGCCTGGAGGAAGTGGGGGAATTGGGCTCAGGAGCTCTCCAGGATCCGAGCCCAGGAGTCTGTAAAAGGACACTGTAGGAGCTGCTGCTTTGTTCGCCAAGATACTGCTTGGCACTCCAGATATTCGCTGTACTGGTGAATGGAAGAGTATGTGGTATCTGGATGCAGGATATCTAGCCTGGTGTGATTCGGAAGCTCTGGATGAGTTGCATGAGCGTGCTTGAGGCTACGCTAAGAAGCTCGAGGCGCAGTTTGTCAGTTCTCGAGCGAAGCAGTGGCGAGGCTTTGTTCAGGAGGCAGTGCAGGCAGGAGCAGGTCGAGCCCACCAGTGCACCAAGCCCCCAGTGGGCTGGCGCCCTGCGGTACCCCGACAAGGACACGCACCTCCTGGGCCCTCAGACCTCATCCAGCAGAACCTCCAGGACTGGGACAACATATGGGATTCCAGTGGCCCCAGCAGGCCCCTTGAAGATCCAGAAGGTTTATTCCAGAAGCTGAAAGGCATGTTGAAGGACCCCCCCAGCCCCATCATTAGCTTCAGCCCTGATGAGATCAGATCGGTCGCTCGGAAGATGGAAGCGTGGACTGCTCACGGAGTGGACAGGCTTGGACCTTGTGATTTTCTACTTCTTTCTGACCCGTGTTTGGAAGCTTTTAAATGCGTTATGGAGTTGGATGCTCCGTGATGAGATGATGCCGTCCCAGATTTCGCTTACTCTGCAGCCAGCCTTACCAAAGCCTGATGACGACGGTCATCGGCTCATCGCACTCTTGAGTATGACGGTCCGTCTTTGGAGCAGGTGTACAAGAGGGGTAGCAGCGAAATGGGAGTTGGATCATCAAATGGGATTTTCGTATGGGACGAAAGGGAAAGCATGTGAGAGAGCGGTATGGGAGCAAGCATTTGCAGCAGAGCATGCGTCAATAAACCGTTTTGATGTTGCGAATGTGTTGATTGACCTGACCATAGCATACGAAAAGGTGAAGCACCTTCAGTTATTGTCTGCTGCGCGGCAGCACAGTTTCCCCCTTCACCACCTGCGTCTTTGTTTGGTCCAGTATTCTTGCCCGCGCGTGCTCCTCATGGGCCTCCTCGTTTCCAGGCCCACGGTGGTGTCTGCAACTATCTTGGCGGGTTGCGGATATGCTACAACGCTGTTACGTGCTCTCATCATTACTGATCTTGATAGTATGGTTAGTTCACACGGGTTGTGCAGGTTTTATAACGTTGTTGATGACATCACGATCCAGGTAATTGCAACGGCCAAGTTAGTCAAGGACTCGGCCGTCAAGGCCACGCGTGACCTCTGCAACAGGCTCGAGGCCAGGCAGTTGATTATATCCAGAAGTAAAGGTAAAGTTCTTGCTTCTACTGCCGAACTGTCCGCCGGCATATGTGCAGGGCTTAAGAAGTGGGGATTCAAATCGGCGCATTCGGTTCGGAATCTTGGATGTGATTATTCGCTTCGAGGTCGTGCCGCGCATATCCAGAAGACTCGGATCCGAAAGATCAGGTTGAGAGCGGGTCGCTATCGTTCGCTTAAATCCCAGTTCAAAAAAGCTAACGTCGATCGCTCGCACTGGCGCCCTCCCAGCTGGCAGTTACGGAATTGGCGTAATGGGAGTTTCCGACAAGCGCTTGCAGTACCTCAGATCCGCAGTGGCTGAGGGTATTTTTGGACCAGCTCGAGGGCGGACGAGGACAGTCCAGTTTGCGCTCTCGGGTAATGAAGCAGCCGATCCCGCTTATATCGGCAACTCGGCTCCGTTGGTGTTCTGGGGAAAGGCTTACTGGGGCTCGTGGGCCCCCAAGTTCCAGATGGAGGAAGTCTTCAGGTTCTACCTTCAGAAGTTTCCAGACCTTTCTTGGGCTGAGGTCCGCGGTCCTACGGGGGCGGTTGTGTGCACGCTTCAGAGGATTCGATGGTTCCTGAGAGCTACTCCAAGTGGTTCATGCCGACTGAGATGCCGATTGATATTCGTAAGCTTCGGAGCCGCAGCCTCAAGTGCCTCGTGGACCTGGCAACTAAGGGTGTATCTGTGGGTAACCTGCAGTGGGAGCATGGCGGCGTCACCTGCTCTAGGCCCATGCTCGAGCCCATTGCCCAGGTGTGCGAGGAGCTCAGGAAGAAAGGAGAAGACTTGGAGGCTTCGTAATTGGCTACCCATGTCTCTGGAGGATTGGTCACACAGCTGGAGTTATTTCAGGATCGATGGGTTCTGAGTGGGGCTTGCCAGGTGCGTGGCTTTCCTGAAGGAGGTCGGTTTCACAGAATGTTTCGGTGCCCTGCGAATCAACTGTTTAGAAGAGGCCAAGGTTTTGACAAGGAGCTGCCTGCATGGGAACGTGGGGACCCGAATGGCCCCTTCCTCACTCGGTGCCTCCTTACCTCCCCCCCCCCCCCCCCCCCCCCCCCACGCACACACACACACACCTTAAGGCCCCCCGTCCCCAAGACCTTGGACAGGTGGAGGTGGATTGTTCCGCCGCCTGACGGATTTGTTTCAGGTAAGATATGCTCCGATGGCTCCGTCTTAGATCCCAAGGTCAGGCACCATAGTAGAGCAGGATGGGCTTTCGCCATGGTGAATGATGCGGGGGAGCTTCTGGCCAGTGCGTCGGGGCCGCTCCCCCACCCCTTACAGGACATAGATGGGGCTGAACTTTATGCTGTGCTCATGATCCTCAGGCACGCAGGGCCTGGGAATCTAGAGGTAGGCGTTGATTGTGAAGCTCTGGTTTCTGTTTGGTCCCGAGGGTTGCTCCAGGACTGCACGGATTTGCCCTTCGGTGAGTTTTGGACTGAGGTTTTTGCTCGGATTTTGGACCGAGGTCCTGAAACTGTCACTCTCTTTAAGGTACCTGCTCACAAGAGCAGGATGCGTGCCGAGGAGCTAGGCTGTCCAGCCTGGGCTTGGCACGGCAACCGAGCCGTCGACTTTCTGTCTAGGCAGGCCGCCAGCGAGGTCCCCCACTCGCAGTACCCCCAGGACTTGGAGGCCAGGCAGGCCGCACGTCTCTCTTCTCTCTCTCTCTCTCTCTCGCTACGCTGCGAGGGTGCTTGGACATTGGTCGAGGCGTCGTTTTCTTGATGTTGAGTTTTGTAAGACTAAGGCCAGGGCGAAACCCAACGAGCTGCTCATAGTGCCGAGCCCGAATGGTCACCAGGTTCAGCACTGTGGCAAGGGTTTCGCTTGTTCGATTTGTCTGTCCCGTTCGAGGACCTACACAGGCCTGGTCTTAACTGTGCGCGCTGGTATCCCGAGGCTAATTCGTCAGGCGCACTCGACCCATAGGCTTTGGGGGGAGTCTCGAGTCCGTCCAGAATCTGCGTTTGTTCTTTTGTGCGGTGTGTGGATGTTTTGGCAGAGCTAAGATCTTGAAGTTGGGTGCGAAGTGCCTCGGGCATCCAGCAAATCGGGATGCTGCCAACAGTCTGTCCCTCCTTAAGAGGGGGGATTGGCCCCTCCACCAAGACATATTTCGGCCACAGCATCCCCATTCAGAGAGGGTGAGGCCGCTGTGTTGGCCAGATTTGGTTACCCACTCTGCCCCACTCGCCCCTCTCTCTGCTGCTGGTCTCACGCCGTGGGATCATGTAGCTTCAAAGGCTGAAAGGCTGAAAGGGCGAGGACGAGGACGAGGAGGAGGAGGAGGAGGAGGGGGAGGAGGAGGAGGAGGAGGAGGAGGAGGGGGGGGGGGGAGGAGGACGCCCTGTCTCCCGCTCTTTGGCCCTCTGCCGGTGGGGCGGCGCGGCGGCGGCCTCCGCGCGCCGACGCCTGCGGGCCCCGCGCGGGGGGAGGGCTCCCAGGCAGCCTCGGGACGAGGGGGGGCCTCCCCCCTCTCCTCCACCTCCTCCTCCTCCTCCTCCTCCTCCTCCTTCTCCTCCTCCTTCCTCCACCTCCTTCCTCCTCTCCTCCTCCCCCCCTCCTCCCCCTCCCTCCTCCTCCTCCTCCTCCTCCTCCTCCTCCTCCTCCTCCTCCTCTCCTCCTCCTCCTCCTCCTCCTCCTCCTCCTCCTCCTCCTCCTCCTTCCGTTCCTCCTCCTCCTCCTCTCCTCCTCTTTCACCTCCCGCCGCCTCCTTCTCCTCCTCCTCCTCCTCCTCCTCCTCCTCCTCCTCCTCCTCCTGCAGTTCCTCATGCCTCTCCTCCTGCTCTTCGTCTTTCCCCCTGCTCCAGGCTGCGTCCTTGGGCATCCGGGTCGGGGACCAGATCCTGGCGGTGGAAGGCCTCGCCGCCCACCCGGGGGTCGACGTCGCCGACGCCGACGTCCACGCCGACGCCGCCGCCGATGCCGACGACCCCGCCGCCGCCGCCGACGACGACGGTGACGGCGAAGACGGTGACGGCGACGACGACGACGACAACGACGGCGGCGGCGGCGAGGACGACGCCGCCGCCGCCGACGATTTTTTCCATCAACGTAGGGGGTTGTGATGTTACGAACAGTGGCTGCGTGCCCGCACACAATCGGCGTTCGAGGTAGTTTACAACGCAAAACATCTAGAACCCGCCGCCAGGGATACAATTCCTTAGTGCGTGTGGCGTGCGGCACGGTGCTCACTCTAGCGCGTGCTACAGGGCTGGGCGTGCCCCACGGCGACAGGATTTAACCAAACAGAAACTCGGCAGCCTCCAAATCTGTTTCCTCGTCCCCTGGGAGACCTGGGGGGTCGGTTTCACTGTCTTCGAAATCAGGAATCATGGGAGAGGGAGGCTCAGGAGGAGGAGCGGGGATAGTACTGACTAACATTTCCCCTGGCACGAACTGAATCACTTGGCTAGGGCGTCTAGCCAGACGCTCAGTTCCTCCTCGAGCCAACCAGGCGGGGCGATCCCCAGGTGGTGCTTGATGGTCCCCTCGGCTTTGATCGCTGTGATGAGGTCAGTGCGGAGGTCCCAGCGCGGCGGCACGATTAGAAGTTTCGTCATCTTCTCGTCGTTGCACTTCTCGAGCTTGATCATCGTGACCTGTTCCTCGAGCAGCTCCGTGGTGATGTCGGCTGCTTTGTCCTCGCTCGGCTGGGCCTTGTCGAGGTAGTCGTGAAGGTGTTTCTTGCTGCCGCCGCCGATGTCGAGCTTGCACGTCGTCTCGACGAGGCAGATCGCCAGGCTGGAGGTCGGCGGGCTGCCCACGGTCTTCAGCTCCATTTTCTGCTCTGCGGTTTCGTGGCGCAGCTTGTCGAGGTGGCCTTGTAATTCTCGAGCTCCGAGGACAGTGCTGTGATCAGTTGGTGGTCGCGGGCCAGCGTAGACGTGTCGAGCGTGGTGGCGCTCAGGATCCGAAGTCTCTGAGCGTTCATCAGGGTCATTTTCAGGATGGCGGTGAGCAGCACGGTGAGGTTCTTGTCGCGGCTGGTCCACGTTTTCTGTGTGTGTTGTCCGCGTTGGCGTCGACCTCCGCGGTGTACTTTGCGCTTGCGGTCCCCCAGCTCGTCGCCCTCGTCCACCAACATCGCGACCTTGGCCTTCCTGTCCTTCAGCACTGCGCCCCCTGCGTTCGCCTTCTGCTTGGCTAGCGGCTTGTCGGTGCTGGCGGCGCTGCCAGAGTGCCCAGACGCCTGGGAGGATCTCAACCAGAGGCGCCAGCTGGCTCGTGTCGACGCTGGCTGTGCGGCCGCCGCCGTCATCTCGTCGTCGAAGAGGTTCAGGTACTACTGGAGTGGTAGTCACAAGCTGCGGGGCGTTGACCAAGGTGGATGCAGTGGTGCTCGCGGTGGTGACTGTCGGGTTCGGTTGGGTTGTCCGTGCGGTGGTCTTTGTCGAAATAGAAGTACGTATAGGCCGGCTGTGATAAGCTGCGTGGAGCTCATCTCGTAGTTCAGCAGTGTCCTCAGGCACCCACACCGCTCTGCGTTTCTCCGAGAATTGGCGAGAGATTTGCGCAGGAACCTGAGACTTTTGAGAGGTGGCCATCACACGTACAGGCTTGAGCCTAGATCCCGACGGAGTCAGCGGAATATGATCGGCGAGATGTCGTCTGAGTTCTCGTGGATCGTGATCAATTTCGTGGCGCTCGGGCTTGTCGCTGATATCCGCAAACGGGCATCGAGTCGAACGTGACGGTTTCCACTCATGCAGATGATGGGTTAGTTCGGGGATGCACCTATTCGCGGTCCAGGACCTTTGAAGATGGCGTTGGCAATGATCGACGCATGAGAATACTGTAGAGCGGCTGAGGCACATGTTGTCGATGGCAATGGCATTGATGATGGTGGCGCGACCTCGACCAGGCGCTGACGAGTGGGTTTGATGAGTAGCACGACGATGAACGGTGGAGAACCTCGCCCGGCAGTTTTCGATCGTGCATCGGAACGGGGCAAGCAGCTCGGTCTCGCTGTCTGCATCGCCCACCTCCTGACCAACGGCGGGCACGTCGTTAGCCATCGAGCCGCTCGGGACCCACTGGCTGCTCTGCTGCGAAACAGGCGCATAGCACATGCAAGAACGGCCTGGCGCACGTGCTCATCTCGTAATAGTGCTTCCATGGTCGGGGGGCCCCACTCCTCCTTGAACGTGGCACCCATGGGATGGTCCAGTAGTTGGTGCAGGTCGTCGTGGAGTTGGACTGCCCGCAGATGTACGCCTGCATCTGCTTGAAGTCGGTCGTGGCGTAGTGGCGGCGTCGAGGCGGGGCGTCCGCGTGCTCTGGCGATGATCTCGAAAGTGTAGTCGCCCAGAAACGCGGCCAGAAATTGAGCATGATGGTCGGGGTCGTTCATGATAATTTTCCACCGGCTGAGTCGCTTGATCATAAGTTCCACTGCGGTCGGTGCGAGCTGCCATTCGCGAAATGCTTTATCAGTCGTCCAGCTTCGGTGTGCTCCGTCGTCCCGTTCATAATGAGCTTGTTCCAACAGCATGGCACGCGTCTTCTCGGCACGGCATACATCGATCTTATTGCACTCGGCTGGGGTGAGCATGTAAGACTCCAAGGCGGACTGGGCGCGCCCCGCCACGTTGGAGAAGAAGGTGCTGCGCTTATATTTCCATGGCCCAGGGCTTGTCCAGTAGTGCCCAAGGCGAGTCCAACCCGCAGCAGCTGACTGGATGCGGGCACGTATCTCTGCGTAGTTGGTGCCAGTGGGCGCACTGAGGCCGCCGAGGTGGGTAAGGTCGTAGACGCTGGCGCCTGCAATGCGGCGCTCAATGTCGCGAGTGACGCGGGCGTTGGTGTGTAGACGAGGGCGTCTTGCTTCTCGACGTTCTGTCGGTGGCCAGTCATATGTATGTACTTGTTGGGCGTAGCGTTGCTCAGGTAGTCGACGGCGAGTACCCATCGTGCGTGTGGTGGGCCTTCTGGTAGCGCGTAGATGCGGATGAGGTCGTCGATGAAGGCGCCCATGGTGCTCTGCTGGGCCGCGTGCGCGATGGGGCACTCTGCGGTCAGGTCGGCGTCGGTGAGCCCCGTGGTTTGGTCAAGCCAGGCTTCGACTCGTCTGTCGAGCGCTGCCATAAAGTGCTCGGGCGCGCTGCTGTCGCCCATGCGTCCACCTGTGGTTGGTCGCACTGAAACTTGAGCGTCACTGGCGTCGATGGCGAGAACAGCGCGTTCGCGATGCTGGGCGAGGAGGTCGTCGAAGTGATCGTCGTCGGCGCGGCCGTAGTGGGCCTGGAAGAGGAAGGAGTCGTCACCCGTGGCGACGGCGTTGCGCACGTCGTAGGACTTGACAAGGAAGTTGCGGTCAGCCGTGCGCAACCGCCACATGGCAACCTTGACCAAGAGCATAAGTTCCTCTCGCCGTCGTTGCCGGATTCCCCCGTAGCCCCAGGCTGGGGCGCTGCGTGGCCCCCCGTAGTCGCAGAGGCCCACGCGTAGGTAGATGCGCCACCAGTGGCAGAAACAGCGCAGGAGTCGGAGGCAGTGGTTGGTGCTGTGGATCTCGTCGCCGCTGGGTCCTTTGTACTTCTTTCCGATGGTGGCGACCTGGCTCGCCACTGCCCGCGCGGGCAGCGCGCGGGCGGCGCGGGCGCGAGCCAGGGGCGACGCAGAGAGAAGGTGGCCGACGTGGGCTTCCTCAAGCGGGATGTGGCAGCGGGGGCGTCGGGCAGGTACATCGGCTCGTGCGAGTTGATGGACGTGAAAATAGTGTTGGTCTTCGTGCCCCAGGCCGATTGTCTCCGTCTTGGGCTTAGTCAAGCATTGCGGGTAGAGGAGGAGCTGCGTGATCTCGCCAGGCCAAGACCATCCAGGGTTGCACCGTCGGTTTTTGTTGGCCAAGATGCGCTTCTTCATGCGCCCGAGGTCCTCCACGGCGTTGTCCAAGTCGGTCTGGGGTGCTCCGTGCTGAAAGGGGCCGTATTGGGCGATGTCCTCCAATGGTGTACGCAGCAGCTTCTCAATGGTGGCGTCCCGTAGGTAGATGCTAGTGGGATGTGATGTGGCGCTCGTGCCTCCTTCGGTAGTTGGCTTGGCAAGTGCATCGAGGAAGGCTTGACCTCGGGGTCGGACAGCAGCGACGGACAGGTAGCTGCGCTTTTGTATGCCGGCGAGCGTGCCAGCGCGCAGTAGAGCGAGATGTCGAACTCGAGCGAGGTCTCGAGCAGCCCACGCTTCACGTAGTTGATCGTCCACGGACGTACGCCACCAGTAATTTTACAAGCGTCGGAATGATTTGAGCTGCTGTGATACTCGGCGGAGGTCGGCGTGGTGGAGTCGTCGGCCGGCTTCACAGAGTTGTGCTCGTTGTCGGAGTAGTCGTGCGCGCTCGGCCTTGGCATCAAGTACCCAGGTGGGAGCGTGGCCTTCTCGGGTGAAGTACTTCTTGGCGGTGGTCTTGCGGAGGTGCCCAACAGCAGCTGCGTGCCGTGTTGGAGTGGCGTCGGCACTGAGGCGATTGAGGCGACCGCGATGCTGGTCGTATTGCTCTCGTAGGTCTAGGAGAAATTCAAGGCGTTGTCGCCCTTGTTGTAGGCAGGCGGCAAGCGTGCCCCAGCCCCATCGTGGTTGGTCAGGATCGCGGTACTGCTCTGGAGCCGAGATGTGCACTTCCATGATCATCGGGACGTGGTCGATGACAGGGAGGGTCCGTAATCGGCGTGGGGCATGCCAGCCCATGGCCATGCGTGCGACTGCGAACTTGAGGCTGGTGGGGGCGAGAAAATAGTCGATGCGGCTGTGGGGTCCGTAGTTCCCGTAGTAGCTGTGCCCGAGGTTCCAGTAGCTGTTGACCGCGCTCAACTCGTGCTCGAGCATGTCCGTGTGGAGGCGCTGGGCGAGGTCGTCTTCGGGGCCTGCTTGGTACGTGCCGATGCTGGCGCCGGCGCTGGAGTGGGAGCCGTGTCGACCAACTCGCAAATTCATGTCGCTGAACATGGTCGGCACGGTGCGCTCGGAGGTCGTTGTGAATTAATGTAGTACCCATCGCCAGAGTTGGAGGCAGGTCTTCTTCCAGAAGTGGTGGTCCTTGGCGAGATGTGGGCGTGGTGGGAAGTAGGTGACAATGTAGCGCACTCGGTGTGGTCTACATTGTACGTCGATGCTGCCAGCTCGTCCTTGAAGGTGTGGTGGTGCAGACACGACGCGTGTGGTGTTCCGTTCGCGATAGGGACGTCGCGACGAAAGTCCGATGCTGCAGCCCGCGCTGGAGTTGGCGCCTGTTGCTCGCGTCCATCCAAAATGAATCCAAAGGTGATTTTGGGCCCGTTCTTTGTGATGCGGTGTACCTGCCCTGCTCCGTATCTTCGTGCCTGGGGCGAGGATCGCATCCATGTTGCGGAACTCCGCGCTGATGGCCTGCAGGCGACCCTCGTGGCTGACGAGGCTGAACGGGTTCCAGCCGACCATGCAGGTGCTGCGCAGGGGCTTGGACTGGTAGCCTTCGTCGGCGTCGTCGAACGCGGGGGCCGCCATGCCGAAGCACAGCGCGAGAAGCACCCGCGGCCGCATCGCCATGAGTCAGGCCAGCTCCTGGGGCGAACCTGCCGGGCGGAGACAGGCGAAGAGTCGGCGGAGGCCACTGCGCCTGAACGGATCTGAGCAGTCCGTGGCCCTCGCCGCCGACGATGACGACGACGACGACGACGACGACAACGACGACGACGACGACGACGACGACGACGACGACGACGATCCTCTCCCGGTGGCCTTGCGCTCGGCCGTGCTGTTCCGCCGCGCTCCGTTGTTCATCGGTGCCTCTCCCGCCGCCTGTCTTCTGGCAGCGGGGGCGGCGCCCGGGGGCCCTGCGGCGCGCGGGCCCGCGCCGACGCGGCCGGCGTCTTCGCTCCCGCGGCGTGCCCGAGATGACGGTGCGGCGCGCGGCTTCGCAGAGGGCGCGCTTGGGCAGTGAGGGAAAGGGGGGGAGAAGGGGGCGGGAGATGGAATCAGGGCGGAAGGAGGACCGGGGGGGGGGAGGGAGAGGGCGAGAGAGGGAGAGTCGGGGAGAGAGGGAAGCGATAGGGGAAGGGTGCCGGCGCCTGGGGAGACGGCATGCTGCATTCGGTGGGTGGCGCGGAGGGTCTCATGAAGCATAATTATATCCCTGACCCGAATGAAACAACGGATGCGTGACCCTATTCAATCATGGCGCCGCTCGCTGTGCCCCTGAACATATGGGTTGGTTGTGTTGGGCGCATCTGCCAAAAGACCCCCTGCCCCTAATGTTTGTGGCCCTCCTAGCTGAGGTCAGGTCCCGTCCCAACGGTTTCGGGGTACTTCGATTTCTCATCAGAGTTTGAGGCCATACCACTTACGCCACCGCCCGGAACAGCGGTCAAGGAAATGGAGGGGGGAAGGGAGGTGGGAAGGAGGGAGAGGGAGGAGCGAATGATTGCTGAGAGGGACGAAACTAGAGGATCCTCGTCGGCACTGCTGGATGCGCCTCGAATTTCCGGCTAGAACGCGCTCAGGGATTGGTATGGGGTCGACGCTCAAGCCCAGGCGGCGGGGGGAGAGGGGATGGGAGGGGTGAGGAGGAGGGGAGGAGGAGAAGGAGGAGGAGGAAGGAGCATTCCTGGACTGCACTCTTCCCCGATGGGTGGAATGTCCCTGTGGGCGATTGGGTTTTGCGGGAGCAACGACCTTTCATCATGAGAGCGGTCGGTTCCGCTGCGGGGTGCGGTCTGCGCCACAGTGAAGGGAAACGGTCGGTGCCGCTGTGGGGATGAGCGGTTGGTATAGCTGTTGGGGGAGGTGCCGTTGCCAGTAGACATTGACCTTGTCGTTGCCTGATCCGGAGCAGCAGAGACTGGAAGCAAGATGACAGAAAGATGCGATTGCCGTCGCTGCGACAGGAGGGATGGGGGGGAGAAGGAAGACATCGCAGCGCTTCTAAATGTACCCGGCACGACCACCATCTCGTTGCTAAAATTATACATTTGCCACGCAATCCAATGATTTGGCATGCGATAAAAAATAGCAACGCATCGCCACGCATAGTTCCACGCAGGGGCCAGTCCCGCCTAACATATCATGGCACAACATCATCGCGCAGCTTGCAATAGCATGACAGAGCGTAGAATGGCATAGCGCAGCGTTGCACGACACGACGTAGTAGAGTTGTGATTCGCCCTGCCTGCCGTAGCTTGTCATAGCGTAGCAGAGCATGACGGTGCGTAGCCAAGCATGTCATAGCATGGGTCAGCGCAGTGCACCAAATCATAGCATACGAAGCGCATAACAGCATACCACACCAGAATACAAGTCACGGGGAAGAACCGCGAGGAACCAGAGCCTGGGCCGCCAGGAACCCACCTGACAGGGGCTCCGAGGCAGCTGTTCCCTGCACAAAGCAGGCAAGAACACCAAGATGCACGCCTCCAACTAAGACAAGGCGCCCTAAGTTCGCGGGATGGGGGAGGATGCGACGCCGGCGCAGCAGGAGAACCGGAGCGCAGATCCGAAGGCACACGCGCTCCGAGTCGCACAAGAGAGGGAAGGGCGAGGGGGAGAGGCTCCAGTGAAGCGGCCGAGTAGCGAAAGGATGGCCCAGAAGCTAAATGCCGCGAAGAGACGCGGAAGAGGGAAGGGCGGGGCAGAGAGAGACGGAGAGGGTGTGGAGGAGAGCCAGGGTTGAAAGCGAAAGCAAGCGGGCCAAGGAAGCCCGATGACTGATACCCTGAGCTGGAGAGGGCAGCGAAAGAGGCGATGAGGTGCAAGGGGTAGGGTGTCGACGGCTCATCCGAACCCGATTAGGTGGCGATGTGCATGTCCAGGGCATTTCAAATTGGCGCCTCGTCGTTGACGAATCTTACGATAGGGTGAGACTCTCACACAACATCAGAGGCCGGCGGAAGTCAGGAGCGGGGACAATACCCATTGACAAATGAGCGTCGAGTCCCGTGGAAATATGAAAGCGTTGGATGATTGAGGGGAAGACGAAACTTCCAAAAGTATGGAAAGATATGGGGAATCTGGGGATTTGTAAGTATTTATTGCTGTGTGTCCCCTTCTGGAGGGTCCGCAGAAGTCGGCGGAAGTGAAAGCATAGGCGGTCTCACCAGCGGACGCCGGCGGAAGCCCCTCGGCGTGCGCCTTGGTGTCCTCAGTGGGCCGTGTGCTGCTTGTGCTCGCAGCGCGTAGTGCCGCAGGGGTCGGAGCACGCGGCGTCGTTGACGGGCGAGGTGAGGGCCAGCCACGCGCCGAGGGGGGCGAAGAGGGGAGGGGGAGGGCTCCTGGGAGGCTCCCCTGCTTCTCAGGAGGCGCAGGCCGCAGCTGTGGATGTGGGGCCCGCGCCCTCTAGGGCGCGCCTTCCAAGAAGCAGCCTCCCTCCAAGAAGCTCCCCCCCCTCCCCCCTGCCCCCTTTGTGCGCGCCGCCAGGGGAAGGGAGGAGCGCAGGGCAGCGGAGGAGGAGGAGGGAGAAGTATTGAGACGATGGGGGGGACCTGCCCCTCTCAAGGAGGAGCATTCAGAAATAGTAAGCAAATAGTCTGGGGCCGATGTTTCTGAGAGTCGGAGGATGTTCTGAACATTGTCTGGCTATTCTTAATCTTCCGTCCAATCTCCGCCTGTAGGGGGGACATGCCCGAGCTAAGGGGAGGTGGAGGTCAATGAAGAGGGTGAGGGAAGGGAGCGATGGAAGGCGAGGAACGGAGGGGGATGGGGACGAGGCCATCTGCAGGGCTGTCTCTCACTGCGGCCGCGCGGCCGCTTCCATGCCCGACCTAGCCCGACGACCTGTCGCACGTCGATGCAAGCCCCGCCTGGGGACTTGAGCTGGCGCTTGCCCGTTTGAACTGCCTACTCCTTAGGCGATGCTTAGGAAAACTTGAGTTTTCGGCCAGAGTCTCGATTATTCTTAACGTTTCAATGTAAATCCTAAGATTTTAATAGGAATGTTGGGTTTTTTATTCAAATTCTGAGACTGTGAAATTCATAACCCATGATTTCTTAAGCATTTCGCAGGGTGTAGTTGTTTGTGGTACTCGACCGCGGACGCGGGGTGCCCAAGGAACGGTTCAGCTACAGGGGAACGTCCAACGAGTGCCAAAGCGTTTCGCACTAGGCACGTGATTACTACACCTCGTTTTTGTTTGGGACTTCCCACGCACGCGAGCTCCCGGCGAGCCCCCGCGAACGGCTAACGTGATTACTACACCTCGTCTTCCCTTCGCCTGGGCTCGGACCCCAACAGTACTACGATGTGCAGTTTGTCCCCCCCGCTGTGAAGTGTAGCATGCTTCTTGGGTTTTGGTATGTAGCGCAGCTGGAGCGATTCTCTAGATCATGGGATTTCACTGGCCCGATCTGGTCGCTCCATAATTTCGTCGTCCATCACGCGCCAGTCATCGTTCAATACTTTGATGTAGCAGTCCCTTGCACGTCAAACACTCGATCAGATCCTAAGCCCTTTACTAAGTCTGAGTGCACAGTGGCAGCGCAGTCTGTATGACATGTGTATTTCCACGGCTCTGCAAACTATCAGGTGATCAGATTCCTGCACCTCCACCGACAGACACAGCTGCAGAAGGCGAAGTCAAGGTGTGACGTGGGCAAGTATTTGGGAAGACGGCATGCCTTTCTTGACGGGTTCAGCTCAGACATTAAGAGCGAATTGTCATCATCATTGGTCTTTGGCCAGCATGCGCATGAAGTGATCAGTAGATACGCCTATATCATTTGGATGCTTACTCCTGGTGTTTTTCTTGTCTCTCCCCGCTCCACCTGATTTGTCGCCGCGCCATTTATTTCGACGTGCGGCCTTATCATGTCTCGGGGAGGGCGTTGCGGCCTCCAGGGCGAACGCCGCCTCGGGCGCAGGGCTTCCCGTTTGCTTGCCATGGGTTTGCCGTGGTGTCGGCATCGTCCATTTGGGCGCGTTCAAAACAAGCGGCGAGGCGACATACCTTCAGTCATTGGATCGTCATCCGTCTTACCAGTCTGCAGCGCTCGATATACAGGAGCGGGAGGCGGGGGAGGGCGAGATGGGCGGGGGGGAAGCAGGAGCAGGAGGAGGAACAAGAGGAATAACAGCAGCAGCAGCAGAAACACGAAGTTCGTTAAAGGAGAAACAGTTACCCATATCGCTGCCCTGCCCCCGTTTTCCTCTTTGGGCCTCCTGGGAGGCCCTCGTCGCAACGGTTGGATTACGCCTCGAAGTTCCAGTCAGAACGCACCCCAGGAGACATCAGGGGAGAAGCGGTATTGGTAGTTGCTGCTCTCCCCAGTTTGAGAAAGAGGAGGGAGGGAATGGAAGGGAGGCGAGGCGGAGTTGGATGCGGAGCGAAAGGAGGAGGAACGATCAGATGGAGGAGTCGAGCGGGAGGGGGGGGAGGAGCAGGAGGAGGACGCGTACAGGGCAATTCCGTGAGCTCAGCTCTTGGGAGACCGCCCCTCGTCTCCTCCGGAGGAGTATTTAGAAGCTGCTCCCTCGGCACCGAGCCTCCGAGGCTGCACACGGTCCGGTTCGGTCCGGCCCGACTCCAGACTCCGGTGTCCATCTGGCCCCGCGCGGCGCGCACCGCTGCCCCGTCCCGGCCTGCAGGGTGGCGAGCCCGAGCCGCGATCCCCAAGGGTCCGATCCCGGCCCACGACTCCGGGACAAGTCAGGCACGCTCCGATCCGTGGCCGCTCCGCTGAAGTTTAGCAGTCTGCTCTAGCTTGAAGTCGGGCTCGTCCCTCTACAGGAGGGATCTTCCAAAAAAAAGTCGAAAAATGAGAGGTGGACCATGTTTGAAGCTATTTTTGAACATTGTGAGGCTATTCGTTTGAGTTGTTTATATATATAATAAAAAAAAAACCCTGTAGGGGACAGGCCAGACCTAAATCTAGCTGGGGCCTCCACAGAGCTAGGATGGGGCCTTCGCTCGCACTGGCCCCGGCGGGCTCCTGGCCGAGAGACCCCCCCGCCTCGCGCGCTCGTGCCCCGACGCGTGCAGCAGTGGCGCCCTGCCTGCCGCCCGGCCCCACCGAGTGAGGGTTCCTCCGCCTCCTCCTCCTCGCTCCTGCTCCTCCTCCTCCTCCTCCTCCTCCTCCTGCTCCTCCTCCTCCTCCTCCTGCTCCTCCTCCTCCTCCTCCTCCTCCTGCTCCTCCTCCTCCTCCTGCCTCCTCCTCCTCCTCCTCCTCCTCCTCCTCCTCCTCCTCCTCCTCCTCCTCCTCCTCCTCCTCCTCCTCCTGTGGTTGTGTTCGCCGTCCAGCCGGAGGAGCAGTTGCTGGTTTTGCGTACCTGTCATTTGTGGTCTGTGCGCGTGCAGCTGCGAGCTTGTCTTGCAGACGCGAGCTCTGTCCGCCGACTCTGGCGGAAAAATTGTCCTGCAAAGTCGCGCCGCACCGTGACCCGGACGCCGCTTTTCCGCTCCCTGACCGCTGCCTGGGAGCCGCCGACCAAAAAAGTGTCTGTGAGTTGGCCCACTCAGGAGGCGTTGGGTGCATGATGTGCGTGAGCCCGCAGGAGGAGCCTCCTGGAGCCATCTTGGAGCCGTTCTGGCAGCGTGCTTGGCCTACCTGGAGCTGCCTTGGGCCCCTCTTGGGGCTCACTTGGGGGCGATCTTGGAGGCCATGGTTCAAAGAGGGCGAAGGCCGTGTTCGGCGTCCCCCCCGTGGAGGCTGACACAGCGCCTCTTGGGGCGCTCTTGTGCGCCTCTGGGGTGCTCTTGGGGCCCTCTTGGGGGCCTCAGGGGGCCATATTTGGGCTCTCTTGGACCATCTTGAGGCCAGCTTGAGACCACAAAGGCTCATCGGAAGCGACAAGGCCGAGAGGTAACACACGTTTGTTTCCCATAGGTCTTCGAAGGAGTGTGGCCTCTTGGGTGGAGAGCTCCGAGAGCTGCTCTAACCGCCTTGAGGGCGTCGTGGAGGTATGTTCGAGGCTGGCTTGAACCATGTTCGGCTATCTTGAGCCATCTTGGAGGCCACCTTAGGCTATCTTGGGCTTCTCTTGGGGCTATCTTGGGCCGTCTTGGGCGCTCGATCCCCTCGCGCACCCCCTCCTCTAGACCCAGGAAAGGGGGAGGGGGGGGGGGGGCACCTCCATGAATAGTGGAAGGGAGGACCTGGAAAAGGAAACGCGCTAAACCACCTGCGCTTAGATCCCTGGTGGGAGTCAGAGTCCCCTCCGCAGCGGAGTTGTCGAGAATGTCCCGAGCGAAAGGGCAGTTTTTGAAATTCAGGGTCCCCTCCGATACCGATGCGTCGAGTATGTCCCCAGGGATATTGCAATTCTGGGTCACCGGAACACGTTTCATTCGCAGTTTTACCAGACCAGAAAACTGGACCGTCGGAGTGCGGGCATCCCCTTGTTCTGGAGGTCGGAAAGGGGTGTGGCATAAAGGGGTATGGTGCCAATCGTGGAAATGGCGATGCTATCTGCGACAAATAACATCGCCAGAGTCCCCTTTACTTAAGATTAGCACCACACCCCTTTACACCATACCCTTTTCCTACCTCCAAACTTGTTGCCATGCCTTACGCATGCCATCTCACCCTCCTCCGTGTCATCGTCGTTTTTCGTGGTCGAGCCTCGAAGCCTACAACATGGCGTGGGTTCGCAGTGGGGGCGTCCGGATGGAGCCCGCAGAGCTCGGGAGCCGCGGCGGGCTCCCCCCAGGAGGAAGCTTGCACGCAGATGGTACAACTAGTGGGTGTTCGGGGCACTCCCTCGATTTTTTTTTGTAAAAAAAGAGGGGCACTCCCTCGACGAGGGTCGGCACCAATCGTTGCAATGTTTCTGGGGCGTAATTGCGGCCCTTGGGGATTGGAGGCCAGCTGAGGGCCTTTGAGGGTCCGTATGTGGTACGACGTACGTGAGGGTGTGCCGCATTGAGGCTCCAGGCAGCCGTCTCGGGGGCCAGTTGAGCGCCAACACGCACGACGCGCATGAGGGATATGCCGAATGGATGCGCTTCCCTTCATCACTTGCCAGTGGTCCACCATTCCCTTGCAATTGCACCTTTGCTTCTGCATGTCCTACCTCATACAGATGTCCTAGTGTCTAGCTTCTTGGTTGTCATACGCCAGATGGGGGAGGTGGAGGAGCTGGAGGGCGAGAATCGACGACGGTCGGTACCAAGTGTGGTAAGCCTTCGTTGGGCCGTGGTTGCGTCCCTTGCGGAAGTCGACGGGCTTGGAGGCCAGCTAAGGTCCTGGTCCTTCTGGGGTGCATGGGACACGGCGTGAGTGCGAGGTGCGCAGAATTGAGGCTCCAAGGTTTAGATGACAATGGTCCGTAGCCATTTTGGCTCAAGGACGCGAGGCCTCGGAAGCAGAGAGGCGTTCCCCCGGGCGCGCGCGCGCGCGATGGCGCACCCCTGGCGCTCGGTGGCGGACGCCCCGCCCGCCACCGCCGAGGCGCCCGTCCCGCCGCCGCCGAGCGGCGGCTACCCGCCGTGGCCCGTCTCGCTCGTGCGCCTGGGCCCCAGGAGGGATCCGGGGGCCGGCGCTGCGCTGCCGCTGTCTTCGCTCGCCCCGCCGCGGGGTCCGGCGGGCCCGGCGCTCGGGGAGCCCGGCGCCCAGGGCGGGGCGCCGGGGCGGGGCGGCGCCTCCGCGCAACAGGTGTTGCGCGGCCCGGCCGTGCACGCCCTCGCGGGGCGGGGCGCTCTCAGGCAGCGGCTCGCGGAGCAGGGCGCCGCTCGCCAGGGCCTCGCGGGGCGCCGCGCCCTGCAGGAGCTCGAGGCGGGGCAGGCCGCGCCGCGCGGGGGGGCGGGCCTGCGCGACTTCACGACGGTGAGGCTGAAGGGCGTGATGTCGTCCCTCACGCCGCAGGAACTCGTCGAGGTGCTCAACGGCAGCGGGTGCAGGAGTTCGTTCGATTTCGTGTTCGTCCCAAAGGACACCAAGAGGGGCATTGTCCGCGGCGGCAGCATCGCCTTCGTGAATTTCTCCAACGCAACTGCAGCCAGAGATTTTTGCCAGAGGTTTCACCAAAGCACGTTGCCTGGAGTGAGCTTGCCGGGCGTCAGGTTAGACGTCTCTCCATCGAACGTGCAGGGTTTTCAGGCCAATCTCGACCTCCGTATGATGTCTGAGCACCACCGAAAGGGGCTTCTCCTAGAGCTATGCGTACTGTAGCTGGGCCGCTGGGCGAAGCTCACGCTGGCATCATATGGGTAGGGTTTCAATGCTACCCACCCTCGACCTGTTTTTAGAAGTGTCTGGATAAGTCCGTTCCAGACCCTTCCGCTCTGAGAAGGCCGCGGCGCCCGAGACATCCTCCAGATTCGCTGGATCTTCGAGATGATATACCCCCACCCGAATTTATCCTCGTTCCGGCTTCGTCTTCTCTGCGCTTGCGGCATGCTTTTCTCACCGACGTATGGCGTTCAGGAATGTTCCACACTCTGCCCTTCACCATTCAGCACGACCACGCTCATCGTGGACAAGCAGCAAGGCGCGGCGGATTTGAGGTGTTCGTGCATCAAGTGGCAGCCTTGCTCCTCCTCCTCCTCCTCATCCACCTCATCCTCCTCCTCTTCCGTCTCCTCCTCCACTCATGTTACATCTCCCCGCAGCCATGGCGTGCGTGCGGTCCCATAGCAGCTGGCATCGAGACGCTTGCCGGGCGTGCGCCAGGCTGGATGGGGTGGCCAAGGAAAAGGCACAGCACAGCCTGTCCACATTTTTAATTCCCCCTCCTCGCCCTTACTCGTGACTCCCTCGATTCCTCCCCCCTTCCCCCTCCCTCCCTCCTCCCAAACACGTTTTGCGGCCAGCAGCCACGTGTTGCAGCCAGTAGCGTGGCCGCGGGCCCACGTCGGTATCCTCAAGAGTATCGCCTGTCCCACAAAGCAGGGATGTGAGGGCCGCGGTGCCCTGTTTCGCCAGCGGAGTCAGAAGATGCAGCCGACACGATGATGTCGAAAAACGCATCGATTGCTCAGCCACCAATGGTCTGTCTGTTGTGGGAAAAGCGCTAAGCACGCGCCGCGCAATATCGAAAGGCGAGCCGCATCCCCGCTGATGATTTACCAGAATCGCCCATGCCGCAGGTCTTGCTCTTTCCTGCTTGCTTCCCCGCCTGCCGTCTACTTCCGAGCCCCAGTGGGTACACAAGCCTTGGAGTGCTGTGTCGAGGGGCCTCCGAGATCGACGTTACATAACACCGGGGCCCTTGACAGACGACGCTCGAGCTGCGGGCACCCGCTGAGCACCCGCCGCTCGGTGTGCCAATGACTCTGACAGATATTTCCCGCCTTGGCGCTTGGCGCGAGGGACGCGATGTTCTGCGCCCACCCGACAGCCCGAGACTCTTCACACCCGTGTCAAAGCACGCCTCCGCCCGCTCGGTTGCCGCGCACCGCCGCAGCGGAATCGCCTGCGACCCTGGCCGAACAGCTCACGCCTCTTCGTGTCTCCCTGCTTCTTCCTACCTCCCTTTGACTGCACGGCTGAGGAGGAGGAGAAGGAGGAGGAGGAGGAGGAGGGTTAGTTCGGTGGTGCCGCCCCTGCCTCGTCGAGCTGTGCCGCTCCCCCCCTCCTCCGGAGCTGCGCCGTTTAAGCCTCGTCTGCCACGGTGGCCCACTGAGGGCCGGCGTGACCGAGGAGTCGCACACGAAGGCGACCATATCAATTGCTGCTCTGGCGCAGTGGTCAACTGCACGTGCGGTGGTAAGATTGTCCAGTCGTCGTGTCTCCCTGCTCGTCGTGTCTCCCTGCTTCTTCCCACTTCTCTCATACCTCCTCTCGACTGCGCGGCCGATCAAGCTAGTTCGGCGGTGCCGCCCCTGCCTCATCGAGCTGCGCCGCTCCCCCCCTCCTCCAGAGCTGCGCCGTTTAAGCCTTGTCTGCCACAGTGGCCCACTGAGGGCCGGCGTGACCGAGGAGTCGCACACTAAGGCGACCATATTCAAACGACGCGAAGATCGGGACAAAATCGGATCGGGATAACTCGAAATCTCTGAGAATCGGCGGGTTTGGAGGATGTATTGGGCGCCGCGGCCGCTCCAGAGCGTTCCGAAACGCTCTGAGAGCGCTCCGGAACGCTCTGGAGTGATTTATCCCGATCCTAGCCTTGTTTTACATATCAATTGCTGCTCTGGCGCAGTGGTCAACTACACGTGCGGTGGTAAGATTGTTCAATCTGTCACTGCAACCGAGCCATCCATGCGCCCAAGGTGTTTTTCTACGCAAGGGTCTGGGGGATCCAGGCGGGGCCCACCACGCCCTCCACGAGGCATCTGGCGCCTCTTCGCGAGCAGGGGGGGGGGGGCAGGAGGAGGACAGCGGCCAGAGAAAGAGGAGGGGCAGGGGGCATTAGGGGGGGGTCGCGCGATTAGACTCGTTTCACCTCTCGGAGTCCTCGTGTGTCTAATGACTCCTCCTACTCCTCCTCGGCCACGCCTCCTACGCATCTGACAGCTCACAGCATACTATTTAGTATATCACCGCCCTCTTCCCGCGACATGCATCGCACACCGACGAGTGCGCTGCGACACCCCAAGCGATGCCGGTTTTTTCGTGGCAGCACCGAAGCGGATCCGCCCGTCGGGCTGGCCGAAGCTGCACCCAGGAAAAGAGGTTTAGATGATGATGGACTGGCAGTTCACGTGCTTGTTTGCATTTCCCAGGGGGCCTGGGCCCAACTCACTCGTTTCCCCTAACCCTCCCGTGTTGGGTTCTCGTTTGGAGCAGAGCACTGTGGTCCCCAATCCTCCTCGCGACTCCCACATACTCCGACGCTGCTCCCTGGGAGGCCGCGGTCTGCGCGCCTGGCGCTGCTCTCGTGGATATTCCTGGGAGGCTCCGTGGCGTGGGGGCGCGTGCGCATGCAGACGAGACCTCGCCGCTGCCTGGGTGCTTGCGATCTGCGCAGCGGTCGCCATTTTCGCAGGCTCATGGACGGTCCAGCGGGGTGGAGGCGTACCCGAGACTTCGCGGCTCCTTGGGCGACTGCGAATTGCGCCACCGTCGCCACTCTCGCGGGTTCTTGGGAGGTCCGGCGGAGCGATGGTGTACGTGCATTCAGACGAGACCTCGCGGCTCCCCGGAGGGCTGCGAATTGCGCAACCGTCGCCATGTTCCTGTGCTCCTGGGAGGTCCATCGGAATGGAGGTGTACGCGCATCCAGGCGAAGCTTCGCAGCTCCCTGGGTGACTGCGAACTTTCGAGGGTTCCTGGGAGGTCCAGCGGAGTGGAGGTGTACGCGCATCCAGACGAGACCTCGCAGCCCCTGGTTGGCTGCGAACTGCGCAATTGTCGCCACGTTCGTGGGCTCACGGGAGGTCCAGCGGGATGGAGGGCAGCGAAGATCATTTCGAGACCTCGCGGGCCACGCTGCCCCCATGTTGTGTTGTCCGAACTTCTACTCTAAGGGTGCACCCCGCGTGCATTCGATATGCCTCCCTCGTATCTCGTAGGCTTCGTGGAAGGTCACGACCCGTTTTGGGGCTCTGGACCTGGATGCTGGACTTTGACTCGGCACATGTGCTCGCCCTGTCCTCCTGCCTCCCTCCTCGCTCCCCTCGAGCCTGGCTTCGTCGGGGTGTCTTGAGTTTGTGCCGTTATGCAGAGCCATTTTGGCCAGGACCTCGGAGTGGTCCCGAGGGGCTTCCCGCATACCGCGGTCGGGCGCTTGAGGGCGCGCGCGGTTGGTCCAATCGCGAGTTTTTGTCCGTTGTGAGTCTGTTGCTCGTCCTGCTCCTGCTCCTTTCCCTCCTCCTCCTCCTCCTCCTCCTCCGCCGCCGCCGTCGCTGACATGCGCGGCCAGCCCGAGACTGGTGCGCCCGCCCGCCCGCCGCGCGGCCAGGCGGGGACAGGCGGCACCTCCCTACGCTCCGCTCCTCCTGCTCCTCCTCTCCCTCCTCCCCTCCCTTTTTCTCCGTGGCTGTTGCTTCACACGGTGGAGTCCCCCTTCCCTCAGTGGGAGAGCTGGCATCTTGTCATTATCCCTGCATCCAGTTCATGACAAAAATTTGATAACCTCGCGGCCTCGTGGGGGGCTGCGAACTGCGCAGCTGTTGCCTGGGTGGCATGGCGGAGATGGGGGCATCGCAGATCACTTTGAGACTTCGCGGCTTCTGGGGTCTGCGAACTGCGCAACTATCGCCAGTTTCGCGGGCTTTTGGCGGAGGTGAGGGCAGCGCAGATCATTTGAGACCTCGCAGTTCCCTTGAGGGCTGCGAGCTGCGCAACCGTCGCCACTTTCGTGTCTCTTGGGAGGCATGGCGGAGCGCAGGGCGCCCACATAGCGCATGGCGCCGTCGCGTCCTTTAGCGCGCGACGCTGTTGCATCACATAGCGCAAAGCGCCGGGACGTCACGAAGCGCATGGCGCTGTCCTCAGGGGCCCTTTCCTGCGCAGGTGCGCGACGCGCGTGACCCGACGAAATTCGGCGAAGAATTTCAGAGTCTTGCGTATCTCGCTTTTCTTGTCGTGTGTATCGTTCATACAAATGGTCGCCTTGCGTGCAGAAAGGGTTGGGTACGTCTCGAGTAATTAGGTGTCCCTGGATCCTGAGAAAACAGATCGTTTGTATTTTCACGCGTCCCAATGAAAGTGGGGCAGGAAATTCATGAGGGGTGTTCAGAGTTGAGCCCTTTATGGCCCTCGGAGCGCAGATAACTTGTAATTTCACGTGTCCCAGTATAGTGTGGAGCAGGACACGCGTGAGGGGCGTGCCGACATGGCAGTGTCGTAGCCATGTTGGAAGTTGCCACTCGTATTTTGACGCGCCCGTGTCAGACAGGAAATGCGACAGGAGGATTCCGAGACAAGGCGCTCGCATTCCGGAGAGCGCAGGTCACTCGTGCTTTCACGTGCCAGACAGACTGTCACGCGCGTGGGCATAGCGCCGGGAGCGCGCTTCGCCCGTGGTTCTTACGCGTCCCCAGGAGAATTTTGGGGGGCGTCGGCCATGGAGAGGCCGGCGGAAGGCGCGAGGCTGCTCCTAGCATGCTTGCCTGCATGGCTCTCACGCTCCTCCATCGTCCTCGATCGCGCTCCTCTGATGGGCCTCTTTTCCACCACCACCACCATAAGTTGGAGGGGGAGGGGGTCCTCCTCCTCCTCCTCCTCCTCCTCCTCCTCCTCCTCCTCCTCCTCCTCCTCCTTATGGTGGTGGTGGTGGAAAACAGGCCCATCATCCTCTATCATCCTCCAGCGGTCAACGCGGCGAGGGCCCGCAAAACAACCGCCGGATGGAGCCCGCAGAGCGGGAGTCACGGCGGGCCCCCCCCCCCAGGGGGAATCTTGCGCGCCAACGGTGCAGCCAGTGGGCGTTAGGGGCACTGCTTCGGCGAAGGTCGGCACCACTCGTTGCAATGCTTCTTTGCGTTGTGTTTCACCCCTTGGGGAATTGGGCGGCACGACGTGCGTGAGGGTGTGGTGGACCGAGGCTCCAAGGAGCCGTCTCTGGGGGGGACAACTGAGCGCCCAGCAGTGACGAAGTGCGCGAGGGGTGTGCAGAATTGAGGTTCCCATCAAAGTTGAATTGCCGTTCGCTCATTTGTTATACGCCTCCTAGGAGCCTCGAGGTTCAAATCAGCAGTTTTGTTTTCCAAGTGCCCCAGGAGCCTGAGAGCTCAGATCATTTGTATGTTCACGTGTTCCAGTAGAGTGTGGGGCAGGAAATGCGTGAGCGGTGTCTAGAATTTACTCTTTCGTGGCCCTCGGAGCGCAGATCATTTGTGATTGCACGTGCCTCGATAAAGTGTGGAACATGACATGTGTGAGGGGCGTGCCGACATGGCAGTGTTGTAGCCATGAAGGTTTTGAATTACTGTATGTTTACGCGTCCCAGGATCATATCACACAGGATATGCGCAAGGGGTGCGCTGAAATGAGGCTTTCGCAGTCCTGAGGGCGCATCCCAGTCGTGTTACTTACACGTCTCAGGAGCTGTAACGAGCGCGGGCCATGGACAAGACACCTATTTGGGAGACTTCTTGGGGTCTCTTGGGAGGCCTCTCGGCAGCCTGTTGGCAGTATTTTGGGAACCTTCAGGGGCCTCTTGGGGACCTCTTGCGCATCCGGGGGCCTCTTGGTTGCCTCTTGGGGGCCTGCTGGCGGTCTCGGGGGCCGTCTTTCGGGAAAGGGTTCGACATGTCAGTTCGATTTACACTCCCTCGTGGGGCTCTGCTAGGAGCAACCCTCTTTGAAGGCCTCTTGGGCCGTCCTGAGGTCCTGTTCGGCTGTGCTGGGGTCGTCCAGCAAGCCTCTTGAGTTGACTTGGGGCGATTCCAGGAGCCTCTTGGGCCGTCTTGAGCGGTCGGAAGATGCAAATGGCGCAAACGCCAACGTTTTCAAACAACACAACACCAAATCACAATCTACGAATTTTGGCCTCCGGGACAGCTCTTGGGGCCGTCTTGGGTCATGTGGGAGGCATCGTGAAACTCATTGGGGCCATTTTGGGGCCTGATTCCCATTGACCTCGACTGGAGTGCCCTCCTGGAGCTCTGCTTGGTTCCCTCGCGGCGCTCCTGGAGTGCTCTCGGGGGTCCCGGAGACCGCCCCAGGGAGTTCTGGCATCCTTGAGGGGGCGTTGCCGAGTTCTTTCTCGGCTGGGGGCCCCCAGGGGCGGCCCTGCGCGCGCGAACTAGATGTGTTCTAAACCTGGTGCCTCAGATCTTAGCACGCCTCTAGCCCGCTTGGCCGGCGAGCAAGCACTTGCATTTTCATGGTTCAGATTAGAAAGCAATTGTGGAACAACATTTTCCTTCCATTGGCCCGATAGTTGGTCGGGTGTAATGTCTGATTGCCGCCCCTCCTGCGCGGCAAGCGTTTTCTGCCCTGCCGAGCAGATGCGTCGTGCGGCGTGGCCTGCGAACGGACGAACGTGGGGCGATCACCGGGTGCTCGCCTCGTCCCCTCAGCTTTCCTCCCTCTCCTCCCCCCGCGACGCCCCGTGGCACTATTGCGAACACCTGGCCCGGGTGCTGCTCCTCCCTGCGGTCTCCAGGGCCCTTGCTGGAGACCCCGAGGGCGCCAGCCACATAAAATGATTGCGGCCCTCCTCCTGAAGGCAAGCGCGAGATCAGCAAACTGATAGACCACGAGGCCTGACTGAGGCGTTCGCTCGGCCCGATAGGGCTCCGTGAGTCGATTGCGAGAGGAGCGGTTCGGCCTGAGGCCCTGGGTATATGTCACAGAGGCGAGTGCCCACGTGTGCACACGAGCCAGCACTTGTACGCCGACCATCCGGCGCACACAGAGGCCAGCCCCTCTTCGGCAGCGCCCGTGTCCTCGCCAAGCGTGGTGGCTCACTCGATGGCCTCTTCCAGGTGCCAGCACACCAGCGCTTGTTTTGCGGAGGAGGAGGAGGAGGAGGAGGAGGAGGAGGAGGAGGAGGAGGAGGAGGAGGAGGAGGGCGAGGAGGAGGGCGAGGAGGAGGAGGAGGAGGAGGAGGAGGAGGAGGAGGGCGAGGAGGAGGGCGAGGAGGAGGAGGAGGAGGAGGGAGGAGGAGGGGGAGGGGGATTGGGGAGTGGTGTGGGGAGTGGGCGGGTCGGGGGGCTGACGCTCGAGGCCCCCCCCCGCCCCCGTGCCCCCGAGCCCGCCTCGAAGAGAGGTCGCCGCACGCCCGGCCCGAGTGCGGCAGGGCTGGCGCAGCTCGCGCGGGGGACCTGTAGTGGGTTATGCCGCGTCCGCCAGTAAGATTTTCAGACCCATAGGTGCAGTATTACTATTGAAACACTTGGAGGAACCGACTTTGCATGAAAACTGGAAAAAATCACGATTTTTCGATTTTTTTTTCGCTCTCGCTTCAGAAGCTTGCTTTATGTGTTCGGAGGAGCGCTGTGCAAGAAAAGAGCTCTACGAGGTGCCCGGCGGTAACCTGGTTGACGGTTTACCGCCGGTTCCCATGCGGCATGGCTGGCGCAGCTCGCGCGGGGGAGGATCGCGCTGATGTTAAGTCGGGCCTGTCCCCCTACAGTGTTAAAGCCACCGTTCTTCAAAACGTTTTGCTTTTCTTACCTTTTCGTGTGATTTCCTACGCAAGCCCTTGTCCTCCTTCTCTGTCCCCTCCGATCCTCTCTCGGCCCTCCTACAGGGGGATTTTCGACGAAAAATAAAGAATACCACAAAACATAGTCAAACAATAAGCCAAACATAGTCTGGGGACTATTTGTTGAGCATTTTGTTGACCTGTTTGGGGCATTTTGGGGGTATTTTTTTATTTTTCGTCGAAAATCCCCATGTAGGGGAACACGCCCGACATAATGCCAATCTCGTCGGCGGGCTCCGGAGGGGAACCTCATCGGAGTCCGAATGTTGCTTCAGGGCCAGCATTGTTTGGTAACGGCTGTTCCGCAGGCTGGCAGCCACAGAAAAAGGATTCCAGGAGCTCATTTCACTATTCATTCGTTCGTGGAGTGATGTGTTCAGTCCTTCGTGTCTCCTCCTCCTCCTCCGTTTCGTCCCCCTCCCTTTACTTAGGAGGAGGCTCTCGAGTAGGGCTCCTGGGCTTTTGGAGACAGAGGCCAGAGCTCGGCTTCGGCAGAGACCCTCAGTGGTGCATGAGCTCTACATGCTGGCGGCTTCAGAGAGACACGACGTTTTCAGCCGCCTCCTGGCTCGCAATGTTTAGTGACGGTTCGGTCGGCTCCTTCCAGTTATCATTCCCTTTCCCGCGGTAGGTAGGGAGGAGGCGGAAGAGGAGGAGTGTGAGTAGTTGGGTTGGGCAGGTGAAGAAGTTGATCCGCAAGCGCATCAAGGACGGGCGACCAGAAATATCCCAAGTGCAGTTCTTCCTCGTCCCTGTCCGTTCGTGTGATGCCCTGTCCTTGTTACCGTATGTTTCATTGTCCGCGTTACGCTTCGATTATTCATCTTCTTATTAGTCAGAGGATTCTCATTATTCCCGTAATTGATCATTCTCATCCGCTTTCTATAAATCGAGCCATCGTTCGCAGCTTGCTCTTTCCCCTTCCTCTTCCCCCTTTTTCATATCCCCCTGATCAATCAGCACAGCAAGGACGCAGCTATGTACAATAGTGGGGACAAGGCCAATCGTGGCTGTGTGCTCCTCACCAGGCTCCGTGGTTCCATGGAGCGGACCCCTGTCCATCATCAGCGGCAGAGGGTGGCAGTATCGTGGGCCAGTGGCCATCCAAGAGCGCACAGAGAGACACGCAGATGGGGAGCCCCACGATCACCTTCGATTCACGCCATCGAGGAGACCAAAGAAGGGGTGCTGCGTGGCATCGCCCTACCTCCTCCTCCTCCTCCTCCTCCTCCTCCTCCTCCTCCTCCTCCCTCCCCCGCCTCCCTCCTCCTCCTCATCCTCATCCTCCTCCCGCTCTTCCTCCCCCTCCTCCTCCCCCATCCTCCTCCCCCCTGCTCTACGACCCTGGCTCTGCTAGTCCGGGGGCCACCAGCTTCGCCGACCAGATGGCCAGTGTTTTCGAGCATCGAGCTCGTCGTGTTAAACAGGCTCGGCAAAGCTTGCTCGCGCCTGGCAGCTGAGATGATTGGCAGGCGGCACTCGACCAGACCGCCAGGAACGACGCCAAAAAGAATGGCGCGCCGCGTGAAGAAACATTGTGGACACAGCCAGGTAAGTTCACAGTCAGCACGACGGCAAGAACAATAATGGCTCAGGAGGGGTACCCTTACGTTCTTCATATTTGGGTGATCCACCGTGAAGTGTGCTTCGCGTTGGGCATCTCCACTGAACCGTTTGGCAAACGGCGAAGGGGTTCATGCTCTTGGCACCCGTTCATGTGACCATACGTTGGCTGTGAGCACAGCTCGGCAGACACTCAGCAGCCTGCGGGTGCAGGAGGCCCTCGCCCAGAACTTCAGGGATCTTCGAGCAGAGGCGCACGGCGTCCCTCCACACGAGCAATGCAGACGGGCCCACAAGGAGCATTGCGAGGGCTCCTCACGGGCCCTTGTTGTGCCTCGGGACGAACAAATGTTCGCGCCCCGTTTTACTGGCTTCGAGTTTCTTCACCCCTTCCCTCCCTTGTCGTCGTCGTCGTCATCGTCGTCGTCTTCCTCCTCCTCCTCCTCCTCATCCTCCTCCTCCTCCTCCCTCTCTGGCGTCGCGATTTCACTGGTGTGCGCCACAAGTGATGAGCAACGCTTGCGTCAGGGGGGTGCGCTCGAGGGAAGCAGCACGATGGCCATGGCCACGATGTCGCGGGATCTTGTCGCCGTCGATCTTGGTCCTCCTCTCCCTCCTCCTCCTCCTCCTCCTCCTCCTCCTCCTCCTCCTCCTCCTCCTCCTCCTCCTCCCTCCTCCTCCTCCTCCCCTCCTCCTCCTCCTCCTCCTCTCCTCCTCCTCCTCCCTCCTCCTCTCCTCTCCTCCTCCTCCCTCCCCCCTCCTCCCCCTCCCTCCTTCCTTCCCTTCTCCCCCTCCTTCTCCTCATCATCCTCTTCCTTCTCCTTCTTCTCCTCCTCCTCCTCCTGCTCCTCCTCCGCCTCCTCATGGTCCACGCGGGCCGTCGACGATCTGCGCGCATGATCCAGGAATGGATAGGTGAACGAAGAGTGACATACACGTCGGTCGTTGAAAGCAGGTATTGTTGAATTCCCAGGTCACAATCTACATATAGCGCCTTCCTACTTCAATAATCGGTTTGATTTTGATGTGTTGTTTGTTCTCTGGGAGGGCCTGAACCAAACCTGCTTTATCCGCCTTCCTACTTGATGTTTTACCTACTTCTTCCGACCGAGTTGTAAACGAAACAATTCTGAGGTCCGCACGGGCTTCTCGGATCCGCGCTGGGGCCCCCTGGCGGCGCCTCTGGCGCCGCCCCTGGCGCGCTCCGCGCGCCAGGGAGGGGGGTCCAGCGCGGATACAAGAAGTCCGCGCGGACCTCCGAGTTTATATGGTTGCGTCATTTTCGTTCCCCTATATGAGGATGACCAAAGTGGACCACGATTGACACCGACGTTTCCGCGTTCAGTCTTGGCCATTTCCCTCCATGCGTTGCCGCGAAAGCGAAGCACCAGTGAGGGTCGGTGTCTGTCCATGGGAGCCTTGGGCGGCGACATTGGAGTCAGCTTTTCAGGCAGATGGAACGCATCTTGACAATAGTTTGCCCTTCATCCTGCTCCTCCTCGCCCTTCTTGTTCCTCCGCCCCGCTGCTCGTTCCTCTCGTCTCCCTTGTACAGGGGCGACTCGGTTCAAACCGTGTTCAAAACCAGTCCCACCTAGGGGATTCCCTTCGGGGATCATCCGTTAACATTGGAACGATACAGAGAAGATTAGCATGGCCCCTGCGCGAGGATGACACGCACAAATCGAGAAGTGTATACATTTTTTTGTTTAAAGTCCCACCTAGGGTCCGAACCTGGTCCACATCAGACCCAAATCGGACACCGCCGGGTCCCACGTGTTTTATTGTCTGCGGCCACGTGGCTCAAGCACCCTTCGAGCGAAACGGCGGGGCGCCTCCGTGGCGGACTGCGGCACGGGGGAGCAGGCGCGACGTGAGGAGGAGGAGGAGGAGGAGGAGGAGGAGGAGGAGGAGGAGGAGGAGGAGGAGGAGGAGGAGGAGGAGGAGGAGGAGGAGGAGGAGGAGGAGGAGGAGGAGGAGGAGGAGGAGGAGGGGGGGGGAGGAGGAGGGAGGAGGAGGAGGAGGAGGAGGAGGAGGAGAGGAGGAGGAGGAGGAGGAGGAGGAGGAGGAACGCCACCGGGGGGAGGGAAGGCCACGCTCGGAACGTGCAGTCCTATTGCTCGAGTGCCCGAGGGCATGCACAGCACGAGGTGGACCTGGGGGCCACGCAGGTCGCCATGGGCGACACGGGTCCTGAGGGAAACGGGTCCTGATGTTTTTTGTCGTTGTCGGGCTATCGCGGCCTTCCACGGGCCCCGGGGCTGTCGGGGAACGACTGAGGATGAAGGGCTGATCCCCGGGGAAGGGCGGCCGTCTTTGGATGGGCAGCTACTGGGAACCAATACAGACCCCAGGTGCGCGACGCTGGGGCGAGGTGCGCCACGCTTACCAGACGCACCACGCGCGCCAGGAGCCCCTGGGCCCAAGCGTGGCAGGCACGCCCGCTGCGCCAGATGCGCCACGTGCGCCAAGTGTATCGCACGCTCCAGCTGCGCCAGGTGCGCCACGTTCGGGGCATGCGCAGACTTGCGCCCGCGCATATCGGGAAACATGTCGACCACCCCCCACCATCCTTGTCGAACCCAAATGCCAAATCGCCGCGCAGTGGCCATCATGGTGTCTGGTTGGCCTGCACACAGCAGGCAATATGCCAGCACCCTGGACTTCCCTTCCCTGTAAAACAAAAAGCATGCGAAATGATCGGCGGGCGCCCGCGCACGGTCCAGATGTAGCCGCGAAGTACAGTCCGTATTGTTGTTTACATTGATGGTGGCCCTGCGCACGGCACGCCGTATGCTGGCACCCCCGCCGTTCCTGTCAACAATCAATTCAAAGCGCTTTCGCCCCCCCATTTACATGTTCCAAGTTTGGACAGCAAAATGCAATGTGGCAATTTGCATGGTTCTATGACTGAAGTAAGGGGGTGTCATGGGGCGTGGTTTATTTCTGGCCGAGTAGGTGAGGGAGGGGGTGTAGATTGATGGGGAGCAGTGACAATCCCCACCCCGAATCGGGGAAGGCATGGGGCTGGAAGAGCTAACGATCTAGACCACTGACGCCCTAAACGGCTGGTGGGATTATTCATTGCATGAGGTTGCAGTTGGATCGTCTGGGTACCCATGCTGAAAAGCCGCGAATCACGAGAAGTTGTAGCGTCGAACGAATTTCTCATTTGCTTGACGCGAAGCGGTAAGAACGGAACAACCGGGGCTGTTGTCCAAGAACAGCGCTTCATTGTAGCTAATCAGGCAGTGTCCCCGCGGTAAGTACCAGTAGCCATTCCCTTCAACTTCATTATTGACTGCGTGGAGCTCCCCATATGTGCATCTATTCGCATGGACCTGTCCGCCGTGAATGTCTAGGCGCAGGAGCTTTCGAATATAAACGGGCTTCAGTTGTGACGGTCTGGACATGAATCTAACTGCGAATGAATTGGAGTGTGAATGAGCCTTAGTAGTACGAGCGCGTCTCTGCGCATGAGCCTGGGGCCTCCTGAAACCTACTGGGGCTTCCTGGGGTCTCCAGGAGCCTCTTGGGGCCTCCTGGGGCCTCCTAGGGAGGTTTCGTGCCCCAGGGGAGGCCCAATCTATAGCAACATACGTACATAACACATTGCGGATTGGAGCCACAGGAGAAGGGCAATCTATAGGAGCACGCGTAAAACACCAAGGACTCGTGCCCCAGGAGAGGCCCCCCCCCCCACACACTCACATATATATATATATATATATATATATACATACATACATACAGACAGACAGACAGACAGACAGACAGACAGACAGACAGACATACATACATACATATACACACATATACATATAGAGGAACATAATTTCAACATTCAGGATTGTGTACACAAGAGAAGGACAATCTATAGAAACATACGTAAAACATCAAGGAACCGTGCTCCAGGTGAGGTCCAATCGATAGAATCATACGTAAAACACATGGGATTGGAACCACTCCTGTTGCCTTCTGAGGCCTCCTGCTCCTGGGGCCTCTCGGGGCCTCCTGTTGCCTTCCGAGGCCTCCTGGCGCTTCTTGTGGCCCCCTGGGGCCTCCCGTGGCTTCCTGAGGCCTTCTGGAGTTTCCTGGAGCCTCCTGGAGCCTTTTGGGACATCCTGTGGCCCCTTGAGTCTTCCTGTGGCCTCCTGATGCCTCCTGGGGCCTCATGTGGTCTCCTGGGGCCTCCTGGAGCCTGTTGGAGCCTCCTGTGGCATCCTGAGAAGAATCTGCGCACACGAGCCCGGCCACCAAAACAGGCAAACCGATGGAGACATCCTCAAAATCTGGCCCACCTGGGGGGTGAAAATGAGCGCCTCGCTCGAGACAGACTCCAAATCTGCTCCTGAAGCGACGGATGTTGGGACAGAAAACAAGCAAACCGCTTGAGACATCCCCACACAACGGCCGCGACCGGGACTGTGGAAACACCCCTGGCGGCCCCCCTTAGGGGCGTGAACATGAGCGCCTCGCTCGAGACATCCTCCAAATCTGCTCCGAAAGCGAAGGACGTTGGGACAGAAAACATGCAAACCGCTTGAGACATCCCCACAACACGGCCGCGAACGGGACCGTGAAAACACCCCTGGCGGCCCCCCTCAGGGATGCTGAAACCAGCGCCCCGCCTGAGACATCCTCACAACCTGCTCGGATAGTCAAGGATGTTGGGACAGAAAACAAGCAAACCGCCTGAGACATCCCCACACAATTGCTGCGAACGGGACCGTGAAAACACCCCTGGCGGTTCCCCTTAGGGGGGGCTGAAGCCAGCGCCCCGCCTGAGACACCAACACAATCTGCTGTGTGTGTGGAATAAATCAGACAATGAAAAGGTCTGAGTACGGGCAGGTCTGAGTATGAGTAAGTCTGGGAGCAAGTCTGAGTATTAGTTAGTCTGGGCATGAGTGAGTCTCAGCACGAGGAACTTTGAGAAGGAGTAGGTCTGAGTATGAGTAGGTCTGAGTATGAGTAAGTTTGTGTCTGAGTAAGTCTGGGTATGAATAAATCTGAGTGTGAATAAGTTTGGGTATGAGGAGGAGGAGGAGGAGGGGGAGAAGGAGAAGAGGAAGAAGGAGTAGGAGGCGTCCAAGTAATAACAATAACCTCATCTTAGGATATGGGGAATTAGCAACAACAGCGACACTCCGTAGCCGTTCTGGCTCGAGCCAGGTTGGCTGGTGCGATTAAAAGTTAAGTTGTTTGTCTTGTTTTGTTGTTGCAGTACTGTCTGGCATAAGCTTCAACGTCACTCATGAGCGGTCTCGGGGCAGCAGTAGTGAAAGCGGAGCAGGATTCGTGGAGGAAGTTCATAAGCATGAATGCGCACATCCTCAATTTCGATGCGTTTGCTGAGTTTGGCACTTTTGATTGTAATTTTTGGGTGCCCCGTACTGATGGACCAGTTCTCCCTGCCGATCTCTTCAATTCCGTTCATCCGAACATGAATTTTCCTGGCATCGCGGATGAGGACGTCGAGTATCATGAAGCTTTCGTTTTGTCGTTGCTCTCTGCGCTGCCACATAATGTCCTCGTCCTTTATTTTACGAATGCGGTGGAGAATGCAGGGTACGATTATCACGACACTTCTTGTGATGATGGTACGATTGATCATGTGCGCTGTTGGGTATCGGCAATGACGCGTGCAGGTGTGGTGAAGCAGACGGTGAGATCAATCTGCAAAGATGCACTCGCTAAGCTTGAGCTCTGCAAGCGCCCCAAGTGCAGGAGGAGTGTGTGGACGAAACTCAGCCGGGATCTAGGAGCAGCGTTTTTTGGACCATTTGATAGACTGCTTGCAGTGCACGGTCGTATTGTTTTCATTGCTGCTTCGTCATGGCACAGTGTACCTTTCCATGCATTGTGGTGGAACGGGCAGCCCTTAGGCAAGAGCCATGTCTGCACGTGGGCAGTCTCCTTGACTGAGATGGCCTGGCAAACCCCAGAAGCCTTGGGGCCAGCATCTGTTGGACCGGCCATTGCAGTGGGCGCTCCGTCCGTTTCTTTCTCGCACGCCCGCGGGAGTTTTTCGCAGAGAGCGCGGCGACCGGGGCAAGCTGGCAGGGAGTCAAGAGCAGAGCGGCCGCACAGCGTGCACAGGTGTGACGTTCTGGCTGATGCTTTAAAGCATGGGGAGATTTGGTCAGATTGTGTTGCTGGTGCGATAAAGCATCGAAGGGAAATGCGCCTTCGAGCCGAGTTTTCGATTCACGAGGGCTACATAGCTGGGCCTACAATCCATGTTGAGAAGTTGCCGATCGAATACGCTAAAGTACGGTGCGCATATATCCCGTCTTGTTGCGGATTCACATTCGAGGGTAGACCCACAAGTGATGCCGTAACCGTAACTGTTTATTGTGAAGGCTTTACGGCCGGTACCGCCGACCCAGCAGGACGACGACGACGACGACCACGACGACGACAACGAAAACGACGAGCTGATGACCTTGCCACAGGCTCGGGACATGAGGACATGAGGCGGGCAGTGGAGGGAGGAGGAGGAAGAAGGAGGAGAAGGCGGAGGAGGAGGAGGCGGACAAGGAGGGAAGGGGGAGGGGGGGGCGGGAGTACGGTAGGTTTGCGTCGTGTCGACCAGCGTCGACCCCAGCGCGGACGTTCAAGGTTGAACGCCGCCAGCGACCCAGAATCGATCGATGTTGAACGATCGGACGTTGCGGCAGCGGCCGATCGTTCAAGGTTGAACGATCCCTGCGGTGTCAGAAACCAACGCTGGGGTCGGCACGACACGAACCTGCCGTAGGAGGATCAGGGGGAGGAGGGGGAGGAGGAGATGGAAGAGGAGGAGGAGGAGGAGGAGGAGCAGGAGGCAGAGGATGATGATGATGATTATGATGATGATGATGATGCTGATGATGATGATGATGATGATGCTGATGATGATGATGATGATGATAATGATGAGGAGGAGGAGGAGAAGGAGCGGACAGACGAGGAGGAGAAAGAGGAGGAGGAGGAAGAGGAGGACGGGTGTGAACCCAAGACTCCTCAATGATGTTGAGATACACCCTCCTTCCAAGCTCCCGTCTCACAGGCCCCATACAAGGATCCATTTCCACTGAGGGAAAGGCCCCGTTGGAAGACAATCGTGTGAAGATCTTGAAGCGTTCGCAAAACCATTCTCATGGCTGCAACGCCACGAGTCAACCTGACTGTTGCGTCTTGACGATCCTGAACCGTGCCAGAACACCGTTCCTGGGACTTCAACTCCGAAAATCAACGTAACTGGTACGCACTGACAATCTGGAATCGCTCCAGAACGCCATTCCCGTGAAAGTTTTGCATCTATAAAAAGCGAATGCGCGCAGCGCTAAGGCGAGAGCTGCATTGTGAAAACGAGCCGCCCTCAATCCATGGAGCTCTTGCAACCGTATGAAACGATGTGGGCGGCGCTAAGGCGAGAGCCACACTTTAAACACCATCCGCTTTCAATCCGTGAAGCGTCTGCTATTTGGTAAGGCTAATGTGCGCGGTGCTAAGGCCAGAGCCACATTTTGGAAACGACCCCTCACCAACCCGTGAAATGCATTTACATGTTTTAAATGAATTGGCGAAAGCCAAATTTTGAAAACGGTCCGCTTAATCCGTGAAGCTCTTACAATGTTAGAGAAGAGTTCTCGCGGCGCTCATGCGAAAGCCACATTTTGACAACGATCCGCCCTCAATCCACGAAAATACTGCGATTGGTGAAAACGGGTGTGCGTGGCGCTCAGGCTAGAGACACATTTATTATAAAAGACGGCCTGCCCGGAATCCGTGAAGCTCTTGCAAAATGATAAGACGAACGTGCGCGGCGCAAAAGCGAGAACCACATTTTGAATACGGGCCGCCCCCCATTGGTGAAATTGTTGCCAGGTTCTAAGCTTCAGGCTCATAAATGGTAGGAAAGTCTCCAGCGAAACGCCCTGCCCGCCCTTCCGACCGGCCTCGGGGTGCGACAGGGAGGAGATATCGAAAAGGAAAGGGAGTGGAGTATGAGGAGGGGGAGGAGAAGGAGGAGGAGGAGGAGGAAGAGGAGGAGGAGGAGGAGGAGGAGGAGGAACTGGAGGAGGAGGAGGAGGAGGAAATGGAGGAGGAGGAGGAGGAGGAGGAGGAGGAGGAGGAGGGAGGGGGAGGACCAGGAGGAGGAGAAGGAGGACCAGGAGGAGGAGGAGGAGGAGAAGGAGGAGGAGGACCAGGAGGAGGAGGAGGCGGAGGAGGAGGAGAGCCGCGTGTCTCCTCGGGGCTGGGGCCGGGGCCTTGGCCAGGACCGAGGCCGGGGCCAGGGCTGGGCCCAGATCCAGTGCCGGCCATGGCCGGGGCCGGGGCCAGGGTGCCGGTGCCCAGGCTGGGGGCGGAGCCCGGGTCGGTGCCGGGGCGGGGATCGGGGCCTGGGTTGGGGCTGGGGCTGGGGCCAGGGTTTGGGCCGGGGCTGAGGCGGGGAGAGGCGTTGTGAGCTCCCGTGCCACCTGCCGACAGCGACACCACCACCCCGGAGACTTGTCCACACGAGGGGCCGCCCGGGGTTGGGGGTCACGACCCCTGGGGCCCCTCCCGGGACCACCCCACCGCCTGCAGGACCCTTCTTTCCGGCGGGGAGAGGACAAAGGGAAGGGGCTTCCCTTCGACGTAATTGCGACATTGTTCGATCCCCCCTTTGTTTGTTCGATCTCCCTCCCTAACGACGGCGACGATTCTAAGGAGGCTGCCGTACTTCAGTTTGGGTTGGGTTGGCCTCGCGACGAAGGGCCTCTCACACACGACGACCACGACGACTGGGTCGGTGGATTTCAAGAGCAGGTGGAAATTAAGTGGTGCTGGTTGGACTTCATACCGCATGGAAGGAGTGCCAGATGCGCGCAGCTCGTCGTTGCCCCCTCCATTGCGCCATTCGACAAGATTGCCTGCGCTCCCAGGAGCCCTTGTTGAAGTCGAGCTCTTCTGTCAGCGAATGGCGGCTGTCGACAAGCGGGTCATTGGGCCTTTGACTGGGTGGCAGCTGACATCAGACACTGTTGACGTTCTGCGGAAACAGACATCTCCGACACACCCAGCAGCAATCATGTTGTTTAGTGCTCATTTTGAGGAGGCCCGGCACCGCGGTGAGTTTTGTGGTTTTGCATTGGCCGGGGGAAGCAGTTTTCGAGTCAACGAATGGGGGCGAACAATGCCTTTCGCAGACATGTACTTTTTGGGAGGGTGTTCAAGTGGTACTCCGATGCATGATGGCGACCACTCCGTCCGTGCCTTGCTGCCTCTCGGTCCCAGATATGTTGTGACAGCTATGTGGCCCGTGTCTGATTCTGGAGCCCTCGTTCTCTCCAACACATTCTTTGAGCAGCTTCAAGCTGCTTCCGCTCGGAATCCGCCAGCGGCGCTGACGGCCACTCAGTCCGAGCTGGTAAGATGCAGCGCGGACGAAATGTCTGAAATGGCGAAGGCGGCGCTACAGCTGCTTTCAACCGATATTCGTGCACTTCCCGGGGTGAGAAGGGGCTTGGTGGACGCAGAGAAGGCGGTGAATTCCGATGCTTACCGTGGCGATGCCGAGGACGCGGAGCTCTGCTTGCCTTTCTTGGGGTGTGCGCCTCAGCAGCTTCGCGCCGGTCCATACTGGTGGGCGCCTTTCAGGATGTTCACTAATCCTCTCCAGCTGCGAATTGCCAAGTCCTGTGCTTCTTCGAGCAGGGAAGACTATTTGTTGGTCCCTTCGATCGTGGCATCTTCTGTTTGTTACGCACATGCCATGGCAGCAGTTGGGCAAGATCCGGTATGCATGTGCCCAGGCCGTGTCGCAGGCTTTGTAGTTGTGACGGGACCTGACTTGCTTCACCGCGGTGGCAAGCTGAATGATGGCAACGTGCCGCGAACACACATGTTCTGGATGTTTAGCAGTGGTGGAAAGTGCACAGCCGCATATGGAAGTGACGTTCTGGATGGGGTGCTGGGAGTGTGCGAGATCAGCGAAGACCTTTACTGCTTTCGGCATGCGCAGTCCCTGACATTCTGCCGACGTGACCCCCACGGGATAACGCCTTTCCATTTATCTGGCAAGTTAAGGGGGTCAGGGCTGTGTGGATGGCCAGCGCCAAGGCTTGAGTGTCCAGCAGGACATGCCCTAAGCCAAGCAAGCACGACAGCTTCTGGTGTAGTTTGTGATTTTTGTGGGTATGACTATGGTGCAATGTTTGGCTGTCGGACTTGCAACTTCGACCTGTGCGAGTCGTGCGCGACGGACAAAACTGCCAGAGTTGCTGCGGTATGCTATTATCCCGAAGGGCACGCGTTGTTCATTGCCTGCGTACATGGCAAGCCAGCAAAGGGGCAGCGTCTTCTTCGTAATTATGCATGGCAAAGCTGGATGCAAGTGTATACGCTGGGGGGCACTGGGCGACAGCTCAGAAAGCCCTTGTCGTGGCACCGTTCATCTAAATTTGAAGCTCTGTGTCAGGCCTTTCCACGAGGTTGGTGCGATGTGCAGCAGTTACAGTGCATTCAGATGCTTCGGGGTTTGCACATCGCTTGCAGCACAGAAGACTTCTGTCCGCCGAGCCGCCTCGGTGGCATGCTGATCCTCAATGCTCGTGATGGTGGGATTGTCATGCGTGTGTCATGCCCTAGAATGGAGGGTTTTACTTTCAATGAGCGCGTTGGCACTGTCATCGGATGCGATAACAAGGTCATCATCGCTGACGCAGCTGGTGAGCTCTCAGTGTGGAGCTCCTTGGACCACTCGGTTGGGTCTTTGACGATGGTCCCAGGAAACTGTGACCTGCTTGTGGGCATTACGCAAAGTGAGCCGGGCGTGCGTCGGTGGTCTGTTCAGAATCTCCTTGACACGCCACATTGGCGAGGGAATCGCCAATCTATCGAACATGTTGTGCCTGGGTTTGAGGTTGAGTTGTTTGGCGGATATTGATGTCCAAATAGAGTTTTCCATTGGTTCGGTTGTTTTCTGGTTTCGGCGCGAACCAATGTTACGAACATTGCGAGGTTGTGGCCTTGTGATGCTGAATATATATCGAAGATGCCTACGGCGAGTCACCGCCGCCGCCACCTCCCTTTCGGAAGCCTTAATGTGGCCGAACGTTGCGGACAAAGCTCGGCCGAGCTATTGTACTACATGTTCCCCCAGCCGTTGTGGAATCCCTTTGGGGAACACGTTTGGGGGGCGGAACAAGAACAGGAGGAGAGGAAACAACAGGAGGAGGCGGAGGAGGCGGCGGCGGAGGAGGAGGAGGCCTCTTGGGAGCTTCGTGGGGCTCTCTTGGGGCCTCCTGGGAGCTTCCTGGGGGCCTCTTGAAGGGCCCGAGGGCAAACGTATTCCGAGGGCCTCCGAAAGCCTTTTCCCCGATCGTCCCTCCGCCCCCCGTCCTGCTCATCCGGCCCCCCCCCCCGGGATGCCGCACCGACCCATCGCTGATAACCTGGCTGGAGGATGCCCTGTGAGAGCTCGGGCAGCCGCCAGGGGAGCAGGCCCACAACCTGGCTGGAGAATGCCCTGTGAGAGCTCGGGCAGCCGCCAGGGGAGCAGGCCCACGCAGAGGGACACGCGATTGCTTACGCCTGTTATAGCTCACGTGTTCACGCTCTGCCTCATGCGCCCACCTGAGAGAAGATTCCTCCTCGTTCTCCTCCTGTTCCTCGTCCTCCTCCTGCTCCTCCTCCTGCTCCTCCTCCTCCTCCTCCTCCTGCTCCTGCTCCTCCTCCTCCTCTCTTCCTGCTCTGGGCCTGCCCTGGAGCAAGTCGTGCCCACGATCTCGTGGCGGATCCAGCCGCGGTGACGAGGGCTTGCCCAGGAGGTTCTAAAAATGATCAGCAAGCGTCAGCGTCTGGTTCATCCCTACTCCCTCCTCCTCCCCCCTTCCGCGTCCTCCTCCCAGAAGGAGGGAGGTGGAGCGGCGGGGTGGGTAGGAGGAGGAGGGGCGGGGACCTCCCCCTCCTCCGCCTCCTGCTGCTCTTCCTCCTCAAGGTGACCCGCGGCCCTGGCACGATCTGGTGCCCTCGGGGGCTAGGCGTGTCGGCCAGCATTCCAGAGCGCCCTCGGCAGGGGGGGGGGGGGCACCAGCACCCGGAAGGAAGGCGACAGAGCAGCCAGGTGCTGGCGACGCCCTTCCCCCCGCCCACACAAGGAGAGGCGCCCCCCTCCTGCTGCGTTTCCCCCTCCTCCCCCGCCACTGTCGTGCAGGAAGGGGGGGGGCGGGGGAGGAGGGGGAGGACGGGGGAGGGGGGGACCTCCCACTGCTCTTCGTCTTCCTCTTCCGAAGAAACAAATTGCAGAATCATAATTTCTTGAGTTTCCGCGCGGTTTGCTTTGATCGGCGTTGGATCCCACTCCCTGGCGCGCGAAGTGCGCCAGGGGCGGCGCCAAAGGCGCCGCCAGAGGGGCCCAGCGCCGATCCAAGAAGTCCGCACGGACCTTCGGAAGTGTAGGTTCTGCAGTCTTTGTTTCTTGTTCGGCTATTCCGTCTTCCTCCCCCTCGGCATCCTCCTCCTGCTCCTCGTCTTCTCTTCGTAAGAGTTCAGTCTCGCCCGAGGACCGGCCACGCCCAGTGAGGCTGACCATCCTGTCCCCAGCCACTGCGCCGACCGCCTCCGAGCCAGCACAGGAGGCTCTGGCTGCTGCTGCTACTGCTGCTGCTGCTGCTGCTGCTCGTCGTCGTCGTCGTCGGCGCCAGCGCCGGCGTCGTCGTCGAAGTCGTCATTCATTCACCTCACCTTCCTCTTCTCGAAGAAGAAAATTATCCCAGTGCGACCCTACCTAGGAGTTGGAACCCCTAGGAAAGCAGCATTAGTAGTAACAGTAACGCTAAGCTAAAGCTAAGCTAAAGCTGAGCTAAAGCTAAGCTAAAGCTAAGCCATAGCTAAGCTAAAGCTAAGCTAACGCTAAGCTAAAGCTGAGCTAAAGCTGAGCTAAAGCTGAGCAACAGCTAAGCTAAAGCTAAGCTACAGCTAAGCTAAATATAAGCTAAAGCTAAGCTAAAGCTAAGCTAAAGCTAAGCTAAAGCTAAGCTACAGCTAAGCTAAAGCTAAGCTGAAGCTAAGCTAAAGCTCAGCTAACCGCTAAGCGAAACGCTAAGCGAAACGCTAAGCTAAAGCTAAGCTACAGCTAAGCTAAAGCTAAGCTAAAGCTAAGCTAAAGCTAAAGCTAAAGCTCCCAGGGGATTCTAGGCAGAGCCTAGGTAGGGAGTTATCCCAGTGCGACCCTACCTAGGAGTTGGAACCCCTAGGAAAGCAGCATTAGTAGTAACAGTAACGCTAAGCCAAAGCTAAGCTAAAGCTAAGCTAAAGCTAAGCTAAAGCTAAGCTAAAGCTAAGCCACAGCTGAGCTAAAGCTAAGCTAAAGCTAAGCTAAAGCTAAGCTAAAGCTAAGCTAAAGCTGAGAAGCAGCTAAGCTAAAGCTAAGCTACAGCTAAGCTAAAGCTAAGCTAACGCTAAGCTAAAGCTAAGCTAAAGCTAAGCTAAAGCTAAGCTACAGCTAAGCTCAAGCTAAGCTAAAGCTAAGCTTAAGCTAAGCGAAAGCTAAGCTAAACGCTAAACGAAAAGCTAAGCGAAACGCTAAGCGAAACGCTAAGCTAAAGCTAAGCTACAGCTAAGCTAAAGCTAAAGCCAAGCTAAAGCGAAAGCTAACGCTAAAGCTAAAGCTAAAGCTCCCAGGGGACTGGGGGGAACCGCGGGGCGGGGACTGGGGGAACCGCCCGGGGCGCTTTCCACTGCCCGGCCCCTTTAAGCTAGAGAGTAAGAACCCTTCTAGGCAGAGCCTAGGTAGGGAAAAAGCTGCATAAAGATACACGTTCGGAGGTCCGCGCGGATTTCTTGGATCGGCGCTGGGCCCCCCCTGGCGGCGCCTCTGGCGCCACCCCTGGCGCGCTCCACGCGCCAGAGAAGAGGGGCTAACGCCGATCCCAAAAAATGCGCGGAACTCCTCAAGTTTATGTTTATGCATTTTTGTTTCTCATTATAATCACCTCAACTTGCTCTCCTCCTTCCTTCACTTCACAAGAAAAGCCGCAAGGCATGAAAGTCTTACACTCACGCTGTACACGAACATCAAGATATTATCGGAAGTTGGGGGTGATGCCGAAGTGAAACGTGAGGTGCCCCAACCAGGATTTAATTTCGTGTTTGAGTTGTGTCAGTGCGCGGCGTGCGGCCGGGCGAGGCGAGGCGAAGCTACGCGAGTTCGCCAGAAAATAATTAGTCGGCCGTGGTGCAGGATTGTCCCGATGGGTTGCCCCGATAGCTTTCTCGATGATTGTCCCGATGGTTGTCCTGAAGGTGGTCCCGACGGTTGTCCCGACGGTTGTCCCGACGGTTGTCCCGACGGTTGTCCCAACGGTTGTCCCGATGGTTGTCCCGACGGTTGTCCTTGTGGTTGTCCCCAAGTTTGTCCCGACGGTATTTCCGACGGTTCTCCCGAGTGTTGTCCTGTTGGTTGTCACGCTGTTGTCGCGCTGGTTGTCCCGATGGTTTTGCAAGGTCTTGTTGTCGAGCAATTCGCTCAGCGACGCCATAGATCCCAAAAGTGCACGACGCGATGCCATATACCCAAGACGCGCCCTGCAACGCCATACTACCAATAATTCTGCGCCCTAGAAGGCCATGGTGCGGCCCGCGAGACCATGATATCGACAGAAACGCGGCTTGCGGGGCAACGCCATCAAACCCAAACCCTGTGGGGCAGGAGCGTGTCCTGCTAAGCAAGAAACCGCACATCGACCAAACATATAAACGCACCTTGCGGGACAACAGTGTTGTGAACAAGTCGGTGCTAGCCAGCGGGGATCCCAAATAGTGTGTTCAGCAATCGACGTGGTGCAATTTAGGTGGAGCAATGTATGTGGTGCAACGTATGTGTTGCAATCCAGGTTGCGTAGCCTACGGTGTGCAATGTATGACTTGCTGCACGCGTGGTTGTTGTGCAATGGATGTGGTGCAACAAGTGATATGCTTTTTGTGGGGAACAACCTAGATTGAGTCATCTATGTTGTGTATCATGCTGTTCAACCGATGGTGAGCGATTTGTGTGAGGCGATCTATGTTGTACAATCTATGGCGTGCAATTGACTACCCTGCACCGCGCCTGATCACCTCCACTGCTCGCGCAAACATCCCACCCACCCGCCCGCAACTTGGTCGCAAGACTTCTTAAGACACGACCGTGACGGTAGGTACCACATGGCACTTGGCCACGACACCGACGCCGACGACGACAGCGACAACGGCGACGATGGCGCCGCCGACACCGACTACGACGACACCGCCGACGTCGACGTCGACGAAGACGACGACGACGCCGACGCCGACGACGACGACGAAGACGACGACGACGTCGCCAACGAAAACGACGACGAGGGAGGAGGGAGGACGACGACGGCGGCAACGACGACAACGACGATGGAGGAGGGAAGACGGCGACGACGCGAACTACGAAGAAGGAGGAATGACGGCGACGCCGACGACGACAACGACGAGGGAGGAGGGAAGACGACGACGACGACAACGACGACGAAGACGACGATGACGGCGACGAAATAGGAGGGACGACGACGAGATGCCGACGACGGACGACGACGACAACGAGGGAGGATAATGACGACGACGACGACGGCGACGAAATAGGAGGGACAACGACGAAACGCCGACGAAGACGACGAGGGAGGAAAGTCGACCACGGCGACAACGACGACGGAAGCGACGACGACGCCAAGACGACGACGACGACGAGGAAAGACAGAAGACGACGACGGCGACGACGACGACGACGACGACGAGGGAAGAGGGAGGACGACGACGATGACGACGCAAGAGCGCGCGCGCACGCTTTTGTTGAAGATCCGTCTTGCGAAACCTTGTCTTTTTGTAGGTTTTTCGGAGACGCGATTTTGACATCCTTCCGAAACCGATGGGTTTTGAAGGTTTTCGGCATGCGCGCGCGACGACGCGCGCGTCTGCACTTCGTCCCTTTTTTTGCAAAGGATTCTCGCGACGGCACACGCGCAAGGGCGTTCGACAGATTTCGGCATGCGCGCGCGAAGCCCGTTTAATAGCAGGTTGTGAAAATATTGAAAAACCTATGGTTTTCTTAAGATTTCGCAAGAGCTCGCGCGGAAGTGTTTTAGCAAATCCGTGTTGCGAAACCCTGTGTGTTTGTATGTTTTTTGTTGGAAACTCGATTGCGAAATCCTTCCGGCACCGAAGGTTTTTGAAGGATTTCGGCATGCGCGCGTGACGACGCGCGCGTGCGTACTTCGTCATCTGTTTTGCAAGGGATTCGTGAACAAGTGTTATGTTAGTATAAAGAAATGTCACCGCAAAGTGTTCTTTCACAAGGGAACCTCAGGGGGGGAACCTGCCCCCCCGGGGATACTGCTAATTCATATTTAGGATGGACATGTGGTCAGAATCATACATTTGCTAATGATTTACATACCCGAAAAGGGGGAGTGATAACGCCGGGGGGGGGGGTAGATCCTATTCTGCTTCTAGAAAGAAGAATATAGTGCGCCATTCGGTGCCACTTGTGCGGCGCAGTATGTGTGTTGCGCCTTATGTGGTGCAACCGGCATGATGCAATCAATGTACGTGGTGGAATGTACATGGTACAATCTAGGTTGTGTGAGTTTTGTCGTGAAGTCTAAGTTGTACACTGTATGTGGTGTGATCGGTGTTGTGAGACCTACGTTGTGCAATTCAGTTTGGCTTCCAAGCGCGCGACAGTCCCCCCATGCTCGCGCAATCATCCCACCCACTTACCCGCAACTAGGTTTGCAAAACCCATGCTGCGGCGATTGCGATGGCCGCTTGGCGCTTGCTGGTGCGTCGCTGCGGCAGCGCTAGCGCGCGTATGCTCGCGCACAGAGCGGCCATTTAGTCTGGCGCGACCGACGCTGCCGCGGTGGCGTTGCCCGCTGGCAACTTCCAAGCGCGCCTCGCAGGCCGTGATGACGCACGGGCACATTTGCGCGAGTCGATGACTTGGGTGGGCGCGGTATCATGGTGACGTCGACAACGGCAGACACGATGATGATAGTAGCGGTGCTGGCAACGATGACGACAATGACGACGGCAAGGGCAATGACGGTGCCGATGTTCACCACGCCGATAACGACGATGGTGTCTACGTATCGGTGATGAAGGTCCGGGAGGGATTTGGACATACGCGCGCGGTCGACGCGCGCGAATTGCCCGCATTGTATCATTTGACAGGGATCGTGCCCCCCCCACCAGCACCCGCGCAAGGGCGTTCGAATGGTTTGATTCGACATGCGACATGCGCGCGCGAGAGGCACGTTTGTTAGCGTTTGATTCACATGTCGAAGAACCTCTGGCTTTCGTCAGAATTCGCAAGAGCGCGCGAACATATTTTTGTTGAAACATCCGGTTGCTGAAGTACTTCGTGTTCAAATATATGTTCAGGAAATTCGATGTTGAAATCTTTACGATGCCTCAGTTGTTTGACGGATTCCGGCACGCGCGCGCGACAACGTGCGCGTGCAATTTGCCAACTTTGTTAAAACGGGTTTTTGCGACAACACGCCCGCAAGGGCGTTCTA